AACAAGCGAACAACATCCTATAACTAAGAGTTTGGGACAAAGTTGGCTTTTTCCGGCTGATTTTGTGTCAAATACATTTTCATTCTGTACTTCTTTATGATATCAATCGCTTGACTCCTGTTGTCATGACGAATGCCACCGAATTGAGTACTTCTGCTACTCCCACTGGGAATCCAACCAGCGGTGTCACAGGCGGTGATGTGTTGGTTCGTCAGAAAACCATCTTGCCTTATGATTTGAATTCTAATGACAGTCCCGGATCTCCGATTACTCAGGTTTAACTCAAAGGTAAACTCAACTACGACGAATGGTGTCGTAGAGTCAAAAAAGCTTTGCGGGCATGTAAAAAGTTTGGATTCGTTGATGGAACGATTCTGGAACTACCTGCTGCTTCGCCGAACAATGAAGATTGGTGGACGATAAACTTCTTGTTGGTTTCTTGGATAATGAATTTGATCGAGCCGACTCTCCGTTCTACGATTACTCATATGGAGGTGGCGGCCGATCTTTGTCTGATCTTCAGGAGCGATTTTCAGTCGTCAATGGCCCGAAGATACAGCAACTCAAAGCCGACCTTGCATCCTGTAAATAGAAGGGTCTCACCATGGCTGTTTACTATGGCCGATTGAAGAAAATTTGGGACGAATTAGGGACTTATCTCTGTCCTCTGTCCTGTACTTGTGGTAAGTGTGAATGTAATTTGAGTGTAATGGCTGATAAGAAGTTTGAAGAAGAAAAAATCCATCAATTTTTATTGGGTCTTGATGATGCTGTTTATGCAACGGCTCAATCCACCATTCTTGCCCGGGATCTGTTGCCGCGTTTGAATAAAGTCTACTCCACCATGGTTTAGGAGGAGAAAATGCACAACATGACTCACTCGAAGGAAGCTTCATCGGATATGGTGAGTTTCGCCGTCCAATTTGTTCTTTCTGTTTCTGCAACTTCCGACAATCTGTCGGCGACTGCTACTGCTGTGATTTAGAAATTTGGTGGTCATAGTTTGGCTCGCAATGGAGGTCTGTTTTGCACTCATTGCAATTGTCTGGGAAATGAGATCACCTCCTGTTTTCATATTGTTAGCTATCCAAAAAATTGGTCTGAAATTCGCAGACGTGGCCGTGGATGGGGACGCGGTCGTGGACGTGGCGGTGATCGTGGTGCTTCTCCTGATGGTCAGATCGGTGGCGGCCAGTTTGGTGCTGGTAAGACTGTGGCTGTCAATATCGCTGTTAGCTCGAGTCATGGTGTGGCTGATTCGAGTCGGGCAACAACTATTTTGAGCTAAGACCAATGGTCCACTCTCATACATTTACTCAACTTGGCCAAGACCGGTTCGACCAAAAAATTGTCTAGTACGTATTGGTCTATATTTTGGCTGTACGATTCTGGTGCTACTCGCCATATGACAGGAAATTTGGATTATTTTTCGGATGTTCGTGATATCATTGGCATTCGTGTTTAGTTACCCAACGGTCATTGTACCTATGCTACTAAGGCTGGCAACGTAATTCTTAGCAGTACTGTTGCATTGCATCATGTTCTTTATGTTCCCCAATTGCAATGTCGTTTGATTTCTGTTTCACAGTTATTGAGGAACTCCGGTTCTGTTACTCACTTTATCTCTGATGATTGTGTTATCCAGGATCGCGTTTCGAGGATGCTGATTGGAGCGGGTGAGTAACGAGAGGGGCTCTATTTCTTCTGTGCTGTGAAAACTGTTGCTGCTACGCCTTCTACCGGTGTTTCTACTTTTGATTTGTGGCACCAACGTTTGGGTCACCCTTCATCGAAGGTTTTACAATTGTTTCCTTCCGTTTGTTCCAAAACTAAGAGTCAGTTTTCTAATAAGGCGTGTGACGTTTGTTTTCGAGCCAAAAAATTTAGGGAGAGTTTTCCTCTTAGTCATACTAAAGCTACTGCAGTTTTCAATTTGATACATTGTGATTTACGGGGCCCTTATCGGGTTCCTTCTTCTTCTGGTGCATGTTATTTTCTTATGATTATGGATGATTTTTCTCGTGCAACTTGGATTTTTCTTTTGATTCATATATCCGATGTTTCTTCTACCTCATGAAATTTTATTACCATGGTTGAGCGTCAATATGAAGCAGTTGTAAAAATTGTTCGACAATGGTTCTGAATTCATGTGTATGTCTGATTATTTCTGCCAGAATGGCATTTTACATGAAACCTCTTGTGTGGGTACCTCTCAACAAAATGGTCGGGTAGAACGTAAACATAGGCACATTCTAAACATTGCTCGACCTCTCCGTTTCCAAGCACACTTGCCTATTGAATTTTGGGGTGAATGTGTCTTAACTGCTTGGTATTTGATCAATCATATCCCTTTCAGTGTCCTCAATGGTAAAACTCCTTGTGAGATTCTTTATGGTAAGCCCCCTTCTCTTTCCCATCTTCGTGTGTTTAGCTGCCTCTATTATGTCCACAATCAAAATCACATAGGTGATAAATTCTCGAGTCGTAGTCGTCGCTATGTTTTTTTAGGTTATTCTTTTGGGAAAAAAAGGCTAGAGGATTTATGATTTGGAATCAAGTACCACTTTTGTTTCTCGGGATGTTGTTTTTTCTGAGTCTGAATTTTCTTTTTCTTTACATTCTCGCGTGATAGAACAATCTCCTGTTTTTGAGTCTCCTTCCCTTTAGATGAGGACGACATTGAGTCAGTTGTTATCTCTCCTTCTCCTTTTTTACCTGACCTTGCTCCTATTCCCCTATCTCCTTCTCCGCCTGATACTTCCACAGACAGGGGGGGTTTGTCTGTACAAAAGGAGGAAGTTCTGGGCCGTGGGCATCGGAAAAAGTTTCATTCCACTCGCTTAACGGATTATGCCTCTCATATTGTGTCTTCTTCTGGCCCCTCTCCAACCTTATCTACTTCAGCAGTTTCCTCAGGTACGTCTTATCCCATCCATCACTATTTGTCTTATGATTCTTTCTCTCTGCAACATCGTACTTTCTTGGCTAGTATTACCACATGTGTTGAACCTCGCACGTTTGCGGAGGCAGTCCAAGATGAAAGATGGCGTTTTGCTATGCAACAAGAGATTCAGGCACTTGAGAATAATAGTACCTGGTCGTTGAACCACTTTTGCCAGGGAAACATGCCATTGGGTGCAAATGGGTGTTCAAAATTAAGCATCGTTCTGATGGCTCGATCGAACGATACAAGGCTCATCTTGTCATCCTTGGGGACAATCAGATTAAGAGCCTTGATTACAATGAGACATTTGCACCAGTTGCGAACATGGTTACTGTTCGCACTTTACTTTCTTTCTGTTGATGCCGTCAAAAGATGGAAATTACACCAGATGGATGTTCATAATGCCTTTCTTTATGGCGATCTTGACGAAGAGGTCTTTATGCGTCTACCTCCTGGTTTTTCTTTTTTTTTCCCAGGACAAGTGTGTCGCTTTCATCGCTCCTTGTATGGTTTGTGACAAGCTCCTCGCTACTGGTTTGCCAAATTGGCCAGTGCTCTACGCCGCTATGGTTTCCGCCAATCTAGTTCCGACTATTCACTTTTCATGTTGCATCGGGGCTCGGTACAACCCACTGTTCTTATGTATGTCGATGATCTTATCATTTCTGGTAATGAAGCAGTGGCCATACAATCTTTAAAGACCTATTTGAGTCAGTGCTTTCATTTGAAGGATCTTGGGGTCCTGAAATATTTCCTAGGCATTGAGGTTGCTCGCAATCCATCTGGAATCTTCCTGAGTCAACGAAAGTATGCATTGGATATAATTTCTGAGGTTGGTTTGTTGGGTGCCAAGCCTGCTGGATTTTCACTTGAGCAGAATCATCATCTTTCGCTAGCCGATGAGTCTCCGCTTTCTGATCCTGAACGTTACAGGCGTTTGGTTGGTCGTCTTATCTATCTTGCGGTTACTCGACCTGAATTATCCTACTATGTTCATATGCTTGCTCAGTTTATGCAAAACCTATGTAGGCTCACTGGGATGCTGCCTTGCGTGTTGTACGCTATTTGAAAGGTAGTCCATGACAGGGACTTTTGCTTCGTGCTGATAGTGATCTTCGTCTTACTGGATGGTGTGACCCTAATTGGGCCAGTTGTCCCCTTACGAGGCGCTCTCTTACTGGCTGGTTTGTTCAATTGGGTCACTCTCTTATTTCTTAGAAGATTAAGAAGCAACAAAATATTGCCCGTTCTTCTGCTGAGGCCGAGTATCGAGCCATGGCTTCTACAGTTGGCGAGCTTAAATGACTGAAAGGGTTGTTGTCTTTTCTTAGTGTTGATCATTCTCAGTCTACGCTACTCTTTTGTGACAGTCAGGTTGTCTTGCATTTAGCAGCCAATTCGGTCTTCCATGAACGCACGAAACATATTGAAGTTGATTGTCATTTTATCCGATATGAAGTTGCGAAGGGCACTATTCTTCCGAATTATATTCCTACTACATTACAGCTTGCTGATATTTTTATTAAGCCTTTGGGTAAATCCCAGTTTGATGTTTTTCTTAGCAAGTTGGGTATTCGTAATCCTCATGCTCCAACTTGAGGGAGGTATTATGGTAATTTTATATTTATTCAGGTAACTTGTTGTATTTACCAAGTAATTAGGGTTTTTTTTATCAATGTAACCCTAACATGTACAGCATATATTTGACGTAAATAGAGGAAGGGAGGCAGGCTTTTTCCGGCCTACTTTGTGTCAAATACATTTTCATTTTGTACTTCTTTATTTCACAATCAAGTGGTCATCCAAAAGTTCCCTAACCGCTTTGGCCAACCTTTGTGCGCCCTTTTGTTAATTGAGGTGCAGTTTAATAATAAAATGCTCTTCTGCATTCAATAGGTGACGTGTTCGAGTAATCAGGAACCAGTCCCCTTGTATTTTTATCCCCTATCTTAAAAAATGTCTAAAATTGCTTTTTGAGGTATGTCACAATACTAGGCATTAAAGAGACAACATTTACCGTTGCCAAATAGCAATACCTGAGCCTCTTAGAAAAGCTGTACCACAGAAGTGGTTATTGATTATAACTTGTTGCTACCCACAGATCGTTACATCTTTACAAAAACACGTGTATCTTATCGCTTTTTTAAAAGAAAAATCTCCTCCGCCTTTCTTTTCTTCCTTTTTGTGTTTCTCAAAAACAATGTAATGCGCTGAGTGTGATGGAAAAGGATTGATGCCCACTCCATTATTTTACTTGATGCTACACTATATATGGCCCTCCCTCGTCCTGCTTAGTTTTGGAAACAGGACTGTAATTATTGCGGGATAGAAAGAGTAATGCTCAGTCACATAAATTAAGCAGAAAGGCTCATTCATGCAGTTTCAATCGAACTGATCAAAAAATGGGAAGAGCAGATTTGATACTTATGCTGGTGCTCCATGTTTTCTTCTTCTCAACTTGCAGCTCTGCATCTTTAGGTGGAGTTGGCCTCACCAATTTGCCTCTTGGTACTCTACTTCTTACCTGTTTTCATAAGCATTTTATACATAGAATACCTACAGGGTTTATCAGGATATGAAGTTCTTTACAGTTCATTTGCAGGAAAATCAACAGAGCAAAGTGGAACATTATCTCGCAATCCAAGGGGGAGGAGGAGGATCGAATGGCGGCCATATGGGGGGATCCGGTGGGGAAGGCAATGGCGGTTCCTATCCTAAATCACCGGCCTATGGTGCCGGTGGTGGCGCTAACATCCATCGGGGCAACCATCATCGCGGAGGAACCTCTGTCCCGAGCAGCTGCTGTTGGGGAAATACAGCCATAATAGCTGCAGTTCTCTCGGCTTACCTTCTAAGAGACGTGTATCTGTTAGTTCTGTAGTAATCTGGAGCATCAGCACTGGTTTGTGTGTATATAATGTAAATTTGCTAGAAGCAGATTTTCGATCTATTTCTTCCTCCTGCCGGAAAAGAAGATGATTTTGCCGTGAGTTTCTTTCCTGCTGGAAGGGTACTGTAGTCAGTAGCTGGATTGTTTTACTGGTTTCTCAATTCTCAGTGTGTTTTGAGTGTTGTTTAGGCTCCATTTGCCATTAAAAAGTAGTTTTCCCTGTTCCTGTTTTATCATATTCTCGGGTAGGAATCTTGGTTGACCAAAAATAATCGTAAAAAGTGAGAATTTTGTTGCTTTTTCTGATGTTATGAATAAAACTATTGCAAGATTATGAGATATCGATAACATTTCGGTATTGATGTAGACATTGAACAACAATAATAAACATGATCACGTAAAGCTCACAAAAGCTCTTAGTAATCTTAAAACAGAGGAATCTTGTGGAGACACATGAACCATTCTTCCTTTTCATGATGATTTCCACCATTCAATTTGTGGGCAACTTGAAGAAAGTACCTCTTTCATTTCTCAATTCTCATCACACGTTAAAAAAAGCAAATGGAGGTCATTAATCAAGAACTATATTGTTTTACCAAAGATTCAAAGTTGAAAGCTCAAAACTCTTCAAAGCTAAGCTTTTGTCCCACAATTGGCTCAATGAATAAGTACAGGACCACCTTAACATTCAGACAGTGAATCAGCATACACTAAATCATGTCCACAGGTCAACTCATGATGATTGCCCTTATCTTTAGTACTAATACATATGCTGATATGCATGAACGCGCACAAAACGGGACCAAAACACTTGAAAGTGGAGGCCTGGACAAGTTCCCTCAAAACGTACAAGCAGTCGCTATTTTCCACTAACGACTGAATACCGACATAGGACGTATGAATATGTCCAGTCACTAGGAAACTAAGATCGTTAGAAAATTCTTCAGCTACAAATAGGATAAGTCAGATGCCAATTTACCAATCAGGTATATCATTGCCACCATTCACTTGGCAATTCAAGATAAAACTGTCTGCTGGATGTTAGTAGTGGGTTGATAGGCATGAAAATTAGGTTTTCTGCTCACTTTCTTCAAGAAAAGACTTTATTCTCTTGAATCTTGGTTGTGACCAATTGGGAAAAACATTTCACAAGGGCAAAAAACCAAAAGTCTGAATTTGACAGGAAATTCAAAGACTTCCATGCGTGCTTCAGAATTCAGAGAGTAACTCAAGCTTACGAGATTGGAAGAATTTGCAGCGCCCTTTCCCACTTGATGTAATATCTTCAGTTTTCATCTTTGATGCAGTAAAGCCAATATTGGTTAGCTTCAGCTGCCGTTTACGAGTTGTCTCAGAGGCACCATCTTCATCATTGGCATCAGCCTCCCTACATTACAAACAAAAGAGAAAGTTAAGAAATATTGAAAACAAAAATAAATAAATTAGGCATATTAGTGCATACATCTTTGTATATTCTAATGTTTAAAAAGATAGAATGCTGCAAAAATAACTGAATTTCAATGAGAAAAAAAAAAAAAAAAAAAAAGAAAAAAGAGGAAAAAAAAAAAACTGAATTTCAATGATATCAACAACAGAGAAGAGCAATTACAGCATAATAATTCATGGATATCTCAAAGAACTCAAAGTTCAGAATGATTTTTTTGTTGCCGTGGCATGCACATTAACTGCTATCGAAATCAGCTAGGCCATTAAACAAACCTACCAATGAACTACAATACTTGCTGGGCTTTGTATGAACAAATTTTATCATTGTATAACCAATTCAAAAGCTATTTGCAGCATTCCTAATTTCCTATAGCTTTCATCTATGAGATAGGTCTAAAATGCACTATAACAGATCTCTCTGATGTTCTCAAAATTTTTTACCTCAAATGGGCTTGCTAATTGTCAGTAGTTCCCCCTTATGCTGTTCTTTTCATTTTCCAATGAAAAAAAGTGTAATCAGATATTCAATGAAATACAGTTTGGAGCCTGAATGTTTTTAGTTCAATGTCAACTAAAGATCAAGGAGTCACCATAGCACTTCAACCAGATGTTTGGAATATGATGTGCATGTTCCCCAACTGAAGCGAACCAGAGTAGGGAAACCAAAAACTGAGTGCTTGTGGTCATCCAACCAGGACTTTGTCCCAGGATCTACAAATATCAAAAAAGACTGGAGTTACACTAGGGGACTATCAAAAAGGAAAAAAAATAGACTAACTACGAAGTAAAGAAATTATAGTTTACCTCCAGGGTATCCAGATCCAAAGTTCCTATTTATGTTTTCAGCAGTTTCATCAAGTACCCAATCCCTCAATGCTCGGTCCCTTGTGACCTGAAAGATTGGAAGGTTCAATGCACATGATTTAAAAACAGGTTTCCGAGAAGAGGGTTGATGAGTTCACCTTTGCAACTATACTTGCTCCACTCACAACAGGGTATAAACTATCAGCCTTCTTCGCAACAACAAATTTAATGGATGGAAATCTTTCAGAAAGTTTAATCCTGTATTTTTCTGGATCTCCCACTGTATCCACATACACCTGAAAGACATTCCAGCATTAGTTCACTAGATCCCTTTTTCCTGAAACGAATTCAGTTCCAGAGAATTAAACCATAGCACCGCATTTTTTTTTCTTTTCATTAGAGTTCAAGAGTTAGAAATCTCAAAACTAACTCTAGTGTGAAATATTGACAAACCAGATCAGGCATGCACATACACTCATTTCAAGAGTAAAATAGATTATTTCATCTTCATTCTATAAACTTGTACTCTCCAATACTTCAAATGTTACAAAATTCCTTGCGAAGCATCCAAAATTTTCTGGAGTATAGGAAGTTTACCTCAGTTAAAAGAACACCCAAGTTCAGGACTTTGCTCACAAGGCCCATAGCAGAATCATGTGATATTTCATTCAAGTTTATTTTATGCCTGTTGAACAATTAAGAGAACAAGTTGGAATCAAACATTGCATTCTTAAAACAATACAAAATCAGGAGAAAGGCCAACCCTTACTTCTTCAACATTTTGGCAGAGAGCTCCCTTGGGTCTATCACATCCACAGCCCATCCAATAGATTCATCAGCTTTAAGATTTTCAAATAACTCCTCCCTCATTTCTTCTTTCAAGGTTTTTGAATCTACGTAAAGAATGAAGAATATATGATGGATGGAACAAGTACGAAAGGGAGGATCTTCCTACAGACACATATACTGACGGAGATTTTGAATGACAAAACCATGAAAATTAACAGAATACATGATAAAGTCAATCAATAATCGATAGTGGAAACTATTAAAATGGCATCCAAACTATTAATCAGCACATACTTGCGGGAAACCCATCTATAAATACAAATATGCAATTACTAATCTTGAGGTGATAAACAAAATTTTGCCTTATTCAGTGAAACTGTCAAACATTCAGTCTTTCTAACCCTGTAAGCCCAGGAACATTCCCAAAAGTGAGCAGACCAGCCCAAATTATAATTTCATTTACATTTTGTGCAAGGAACTAAACACAATTATAAGAGCGCAACACACAGCAGATTACTAAAACTAGAACATGATAGTTTAAGTATATAAGAAACCAATTGAATTGTTTATATCAAGGCGGGACATCTAAGGGGGCCATAGCAAAACCCATCTTGAACCAAATATAGACAGTGAAATCAAGAGTAAAGCAAAAATTAGGAGAAGGGTTTGAGAGAGAACCTGCAAAATTCAAGGTGGCAAGTGTCTTCTGGTACGAAACTGAACAGTACAAGCATCCATAGACCATAGGTCCTGTAAAAATCGGAACGACGTACTAATTACATGATTCTGTAGTCATAGAAGAAGCACAAGGGCACAATTTGTTGAACTAATAGAAGAGAAATTAGGGAATGGGGGGAGTACCTAAAACGGGGCCGCGCCCAGCTTCATCGATACCCATAATACAAGGCTCCGATGCCCATTTCGGAAGACCCGTTTCCGATCCCATCTTTAGGGTTTATCCTCCGACGGTTCTTCCCGCTTAGAGTGTGGACTGTAGACGGAGGCTCGCGGTCACAGTTCCCGCCAAATTGGAGCCCCAATGTTTATGTGGAATTTTTTTTCTAGTTCACAGCGCTTTTTTTCCCTTTTTCCCCTTAAATAAAAAAGGAAATAAAAATTAAAACAATTCTACATTGTATTGTTTTATTTTTTTTTCTTCAACCTCTTACCTTAAATAAAAATGCAATTTTCTTTAATCATTCTTAAAAAAAAAAATTAAATAACGTTTAATTAATCTAACTTTTTGCACCGCAAACAACATTGGTATTTTTTTCCAATTTGTGTATGATTTCTACATTACCTGGTTTGTCTCTTCATTTTTTCCATTAAATATATAATGTAACATATGAAAATAAATTCTTACCCTTTCTTTTATAGTTATCTCATTGTAAGGAGATTCATCTTTTTTAATATATGTTATTTTCATTTTTAAGATTGCTGGGCATACTTTTGGTTTGGTTGTTTCTTTTTCCTTTTTTGATTTTTTGGTTTGGTAGTAATTTTGATCAATCTACATTTAATTCGTTTTAATAGAAACATTCTTTGCGAATTGTCTTAATAGGGAATGGACTGTTAGTTTGAAGCAAGCTCATAGAGACTAGAGAGTATAATTTTGTTACAGATTGTTTAGCCTCGCTAGCGGTTTTGAATCCGAGAGGACTTGTTAGACTGGATTCACCGCCTCCAGTTGTTAATGCTTGGCTAATACATGATGTTGTAGGGGTGTCATATCCATATCTGGTTGTTCCCTAAGTTGGCAGTTATAAACACCTATTTTGACCCCAAAAAAAAAAAAAAGAAACTTTCTTTGCGAGAATTGTGAAAATTTTAATAATATAGCTATATTTCCAACAAAAAAAATAATGAGTGTATGAAATAGAAAAGGCACTCAAAGTAAGTTTTGTTTGTAGTTGTACTTTGTACATCACCATGACAATAATACATTAAGCTACCTCTATTTTAGACAATAAGCAACCACATTAGCAAATGAAATGTTCTCATCAAGTTTAGGGTTTACAACATAATTCCTCCAGAAATGATTTGGGAAGCCTGGAGGCCCAGGACAGTATTATCACTTGAGAATCAGTACTTGCTTTATAAATAAAAATCATAAGGGATGTAAAAGGTTTGGCAATCAACTTACCCACTGGAAGGTGGGACAATTCACACAACCTTACAACTTACTCTTATAGAGTTCATGAACCTAAAGATGAAAAAGAGGGGAAAAAAGCAAAAGAGAAAAAAAGGAGGATGCTGAAGAACATGCAAAATGCCTTCTTTGAGTGAGCCAACACCAAATGTTTATTCCCTGACTTTTTACCATATGCCATTTGTCATCCTCAAAATAATGAGTTAAAAAGAAGTTGGTACTAAGACAACTCATTTTCAGACCAAATATTTGGTGTGTTTGGAACAAAATGCCAAACCATTTGGTCACCAAACCAATCCTGGTACAAGCAAATTTTGGAACATGAAAACCTAAATCGAACTACCCTTTTCTAATATACATTCCCTTACAATATCTGCATGAAGCTGAGTAGAAAACTTACACATTTGCTTCCTAATTTCGCCTACATTACAAGATAAGAAAAACACTACAGATGGTACAAACTAGGCAATGACAGGTCACACTTGTAAAGAAGACCAAACCAGATAAAAAGGGCTCATTTTGCTATGGTTAGAGAGCAGAGAAAAGCAAGTGAAGGTAGATTCTTGCCGCTTTTTAGTAATACTAGAATGTAATTTGCTTTCATCCAACAGGGTAGCCCTAATCATTGTATAGAAACCAAGAGGAATCCTTTAGTCAACAACCATATGAAGCATCAATGATACTCTATTATTATCACTAGATTTGATGATCATGTCTAGGTAATGTATGGCATCCTGAGGAAGCAGGCCCTCCAAGAAAAAACGGAAGTTATGACCATGAGTCTCACGCATAGAATCCAAGCACTGTTCCAGTACCTTTCCCTGCTGAACTTTACCCAAGTCTGTTGCCTCCATATACGGCAACAACTCTTTCTCTTCCTCCTCAAAATGTTGCTTAGAATTCTCCTGTAGACATACAGGAGTCGTTAATAATCTGATTGCAAGTTAAAATACCACAAGAATGTCATGGCATAACTGAGAGCAAAATTAGCGGGAAAGAAATTAGGAAAAAGGGACAAATATAGGGCTAATTTATGCACTTGGTTAAAGGAACCCCAATAAAGTTTAGAGACAGCAGAACTCACCTTCAACTTTTTGAGACGATTAGAAAGAATCAAGAGAGCCTCTTGGTAGACAGGAGTTCCCAAATCCAGAACACCTATGGACTTAATGTCTTCTTTGATACCATTCATTACTGGCAGGTCTCTGCCATGTTCTTCATTGGCGGCTTTGGACAATCCTACATCATTAACATACCACAATACTGGTCATTCTACTATCTCCATGAACGATAGTAGATAGGAATTCCCTTTCTAACAAACTAGTTTAATCTTCAAGTTGCAAATTTTCTTTTTCAAATCAGAACCAAAAGTTCACCCAAACAACAGCCTTAGATAGATACATCTCACTCCCATAATTTTTCATAAATATCACACAGTAATAGACAAAAAATGAAGTTAAATTACACCATGCTTGTTTTCTATCATTAATGCAAAAATTGGGATTTAAATCCAATTTTAGATTGGGAACAGAAGATCTTCTCATACTTTTAAGATTACTAATTGGCACAAACCACCTTGCCCTGCCCTAAAAGATCTCATGATGGAGAGTGGAGACTCTTTTGGAACATCCACATCCAATAACAGAGATCATCAATTTGCAGAATTATAGACAGTAATAAGCATATTTTATCCCTTTGAAAAATGAATTGCAAAGACTTGCACCTCCGTAATTTTCCCATATGGGTTCACATTTCACAATAATTAGCAAAATAATGAAAGAACTAAACTCATAATTGCAAACAAGAAATGAGTACCTCGGTCAGCCTTGTCTAAGATAGGAAAGACAACTCTTTCTTCCATCCGAGCATGCTCAAGCATAATCTCCATCAATGCTTCATAATTCCTCCCAAATTTCTTCATCTCCATTTTGGGACTCCCCATCACCGGATCCCCTTTAGTCTTCCCACCACGATGAGCCATGTCCTCAGCCCACCTCACCATTCTCTCCAGATGCCACATCATACTCCTATGCTGCAAATTCACCATCCACACAACCAACGGCGTCGTCTTATCAAACCACCCAAATGAGTTCACACTGCCCCCGCCCTTTACCAACAATGGCGGCTCCGGGAACTTGGAATCCAGGTACCTGAAAATCTCCTCCGGGGAGCCGGAAACGACGTCGGAGTCGCAGTACAGGACAGGGGATTCGACAATGTTTGAAGGGGTGTACTGCAACGAAACGGGCTTATACAGAATGCCGAACCTTATGTAAAATGTGGCCGTGCTGTTGGCCGGACCGTACAGCTTCACCACCGGAGAGCCCTTATTGATACACTCCGGCGGCGTGGGAAGTGGAAGCGGAATGAGTTCCACTTTGGGTTTCTCCTGAACTGATGGTGTCTTCTTTAAGAGCTCAGAAGGGATGATTCCCGCCGGCGGTTTGTGTTGTTTCCCGGAGCAATTCCCCATCTTTTTTTTTTTTCCCCTGGGTCTAACAGAAAATCAATAAAGCTGGGATCTTTAAGAATTTAACCTTCGCTGAGATAAAATTTGCTAGCTTTCCGGGATTTGGTACCGATTAAAACGAAATGGGTTGGAAGAATGGATGCTTTGTTACTCCATAATAATACCCATTAAAACACAACTTCAAAGACGGCAGGTAAGATGAAGAAGAGGAGAAAAGGGGAAGAAACAATGGATAAAAGAAGTGAAAATGACAATTGGAAGATGGCGTATTGGAAACCCAAAAGAGAAAAGATGGAGGTTAGTCAGAGAAAACTACATACAGAAATATAACTATAATAATAAAGCTAGTAGAGTGGCGGAGCTATGGGGGCACATGCTCAGGCTTAGTGATGGCGTATCTTTGTGACACTGTCAATCAAATATATACGTATTTTTTCTTTTAAAAAAGGGAACTTAGAAAATATAGGCAGGATTAAACTTGAGGATGCTTGATATTGAAGGGAGAGATGATGGAATTATGGAATCATTGTGTATAAATAGGTTTTTTTTTTTTTTTTTCGCTCTTGGTATGTTAAAGGGAGAGAGGAAGCTGAAAAGAAGAACAAATGTCAAAGGTTCAAGAAAATTGGGGGGAACGTTTTAATTGAATTGATTAACTTGGTTGAAAATCCAAACGCTCCAATGGGGCCTAAATGATGTTGTTTTCTTGTGTTTGCATTATTGTTGTTTTGTGTCTTCATCAGCAATCCTAATTTGTTGTGGATTATGTATCCGTTAAAAGCCTTTTCGGAGTGAAGAAGACTTTTTATTTCTCCCAAACGCAATGTCACACAGCAATCTTTTGATAAATGCCTAACTACAAGATTTATTTGATTTTGATACCATGATTACTTATGATTTATGTGGAAATTGACACGCTATATATTGTATAATGGGACAAAGACTTGTAGTATTATTGTTGTTTAGTCCATAAATCTAGACTTGATAAACATTTGATCCGAACAGAATTAAAGAAGGAATTGAGGTTCACAAATCTAATTAGTACTGAATGATTTTCTTTTTAATCAAAACATATGCAGATTGGAATGATGTACACCACTGAGCATCTTATTATATGTGGTTTTAATGTTTTATTGTCAGATTCTGACAAGATTAATGTAAAATAATGGGCGTACATCATGAGAGAAGTAATAACATAATTATTCTTTTTTTTTTCTTTTTAATGGTGGGAAGTATTGGAGTCTGAGTCGCTGACCTTCGAGAAATACCAACAGCATACTATTCGTCTGTGGATAAACATAAATATCAATTGTCTTGTCTTTTTTTCGTTCTTTTTCCTGTAATTTTGTTTTCCTCTTTGATTTTACAAAGGGGGAAAAAAATATTGAGTTGGATTCTGGGCTTCAATGAGCTTCGACCTATCTCGGGTAAGCTACATCCATACATAGTCTAAGCCTCTGATTGACGATACTAACTCGTAAGATAAGAAATGTGAATCCTTCGTACTGTTATCACTGCTGGAGCTATATATATAACTAGCTTCCGAAGCAACAATAAATCTTCTTCCTGGTTTTCAATTTTTCATCCAAACACACCTTCTCCATAAATAAACTGCTAGTAACATACAATTAACTTGGAATGATGAATAAATGACTGATAATATATTTGAATTTTGTGAATGCAAAACCAAAATGATCACCAAAAAATCGGAATGTGCAACTAAAGTTAGATCTGCTCTATTCTCTAACAACTATCCTGTCATCGTTAAAATATACACGGTTTGTCAGGCCCATCAAAACCTAGCTTTTCCACCTTTCCATCCTCAACCTGCTTCACAAACATGACCCAGTCTAATAATGTTGCCACTTGTTAAAAAGGGTGATCATCAAATCTTGTAATTAAACGGTAAAGAATGGTGGAGTCTAGCAATGACTCCTGAAGCGTGGAATTTATTGAAACTTATTGATATGAATATTATGAGGAGAACCCTCAAGAATGTACACAGCCAGATCTTTTTCACATTCTGCATATGCAAATCCCATTGTTTGGTCCATTCTCTCTAACTTGAATCCCAGGAAAAATACCATAGGTTGATATGCATTCGGATCTAACACCTGAAGACCGAAAAGGTTTTGCAAATTAATTACAGGAAAATCAGTTCAAGCTCAAAAAAAAAAAAAAGGACACATTTGATACTTCAAAAAAGTTGTGCAAGTATAGCATGTCACCTTGCAGAAATTAGAGAATCTTGCCTTTGTTCAATGCTACAAACATCACAGGTACTAACATTCTCAAGACCTAATCAACTTTAAGAGGTCCGTTATCACTATAATCAACCCTTTGCTACATTCCATCGTTATACTCCTTAGAGTCTGCCATGAATGGATGTGGCGGGAGTTTATATTTAATACTTTAGTCTATTATCAATAGAACTGGTGGAGTCGAAAAACAAACACACATGGTTGCTTCCTCAACAAGGACTACACATGTGCGCGCACACACCCAAAAGGGAAAACAGGAAGAGTGAGAGAGTGAGAGATAGAGAGAGAGGGAGAGGGAGAGGGAGAGGGAGAGAGAGAGAGACCTTGAAACACACCTCATGCCTTTGACTCTGTTTGCACAAATCTAAGATGAGCTAAGTAATTGCTCTCTGCAAAATCATGCAAAGTACGATGGACACGCGCCCCATCACCATCATACTTAACGAACTCATCTTTCAATAAACTTCTGCAGTCATCATTATCCTACCACAAAATATAGATGATCCATAAGCTAATGCATCAATTAAAGAAGATACATGGGACATTAATGAATGACTGTAACACAGGATGCAAATACGCAGTTAGATATGTGTTCGATTTAGTGGAAAAGACGAGAGACTTTAACATGTCACTATTCATGTTAAATGGAAATTCCATGTCTGACGCTTTGCAACATAATGAATGAAACAATAAGGAAAAGACCATACCATGAGAAAGGTACAAGAACCTACACAGGTAACCAACAGATAAAGGTGAAATTAAATTCATGTAAAGTATTCTGTCCCCAGTCCGCTAACACATGAAAAAATTAATTATCGATCAGATAAATGGACTACCTATTAGCCTATTAGATACCAACTATATATTCAACCCAGCTTCACCTCATTAGATAACTTCAAAATGCAATATAGCAAGAAGCTCATGCTCTAGTAAGAAACCAAGTGTGATTACCCTCAACATCTTGCCATCAAGCAGCAAAAAATTTACGATGAAAATGATGGGATTCTAGGTCACAACAGTCCTAAAGAAAATTTAAATTGGCACAAGTAATTACCAGGAATCTCAACATCTGCTCTTCAATAGTACCTCTCATAGCTAATGTCTCAACATGAATAGGACGTTTAGCACCCATCCGGTGAGCACGACTGATGACTTGTTCCTCCATGCTACGGAAGTTTCCAACCAAGTACAATTACATTAAAACAGAGGGTAAATGGCACAATGATCCTTGACATTCTAATCACAACAAACATTGAAACCCTAAACATAAACTGAGACTATACTAACATTATGATAAATGGCCTATCCCTCGTTCCTAAGTTAACAGTCCACTTTGTTATACTATTTCAGTTCAACAAATTGGACTATAACGTGGGAGGAAGGAGAAATAATAACAAGTCGCTCAGTTACAAAGCTGAAATGTCCCAATAAAGTATCTATTCGTGTATATTACAATTTTTCAATATCAAACTCCATATATATATTTAGATCAGTAGTACCCATAATAAGTTTGACCTTAAGCTTAATTTAAGAGAGGATCCTACAAAATGAAAACACATTATCAAAGAACTCAGATTTCACCAATAGATGGTGGTGGGCGGCGGGGTTGCTAAATGCCAATGTTATCATCTAGAGTAGAAACTAGCACAGAAATATATCAGAGCAGCACTTACCTTTTGTCCCATATTGGTTCCATAAGATAGACATGTGTTACAAAACTCAAATCAAGACCTAATGCTGCACTTCCATCCATCAGAAGAACCATACAGTTCGCATCATTCTGAAATGTTGCTAGAGATTTCATCTTACCAAAGTGGGAAAAAAGAGAGGAAAGAAAACATTAAGTTCCTGATCAAAACAATGTGACAAATGGAACCAACAGAAGAAAAGCAATACAATGCATCTCAAGATAAATACCTTCTTTGATGAAGACATCGGACTATACATGCTTACGAATCGAATCCCACCAATTGCTAACTGAGAAAAGAGGATATCAAGAAAATGATAATTGGAAAGGAAAAAATTGCTACAATTAAAGATTTGAGAAACTACAAGGCTACCTGTTGTTCTATAACATGTATATGCTCCAGAAACTGAGAAAATACAATAACTTTATCCGGCCAACTATCGGTTGAAAAGCTTCCAAATTCCATACTATCATCTTGTTGCAGCCTTCCATTAAATTCCAGCAAATGTTTTAACTGATGCACTAGGTAAGTAACCTTACTGCTGGACGTTAACTTCCAATCAGGATGCCACTCATCCTGCATTACAAAGCATAAAATATTAGCTGTGGAAAAAGCAGAAGGGGGCATGAACATTGTGAATAGTAAAAGCACAAGAAACAAGTAGTGCCTGTTTATATGATGGCTGTAACTCTATGAGATCCTTTGGAACAGGCCACTTTGGATTCGGATTTTCAGGACGGGTGCGTGTATCAGGGCTCTGCATCTCATACAAAAAGCTGCAACCAGCTAAAGGACACATTTGACTATCCAACGAAACACAATCAAGGCACAACAGATGTCGACAAGGAGTAATCACAGGCAAACGACACCATTCTTTGCAACTGAAAAACAGCCATAGCATGAATCAGAAAACCACACCTCAAATAAGTAAAAGACACAGGTAAAAGAAAAAGCGAGATCGTACCGCATACAATTTCCACCGTGACGGATATGATACTTTATTATTTCATATTCCTCAGAATGAGGCACCAGACCCGTCTCCTGCAAAGCATCCATCGTTTCCTGGATATCTTGGCCAGCATCGCTTACTCTGACGTGGCCAGCCACACAGCACGACAACCTTATATTTCTTACAGTAGCGCTTCGAGACTTCCACTGCTTTGGATTTAGCAGACTCTCCACATGGGATGGATCATTCCAGTCTGCCAATAATATATTACGCCGTACTGTTTCTACTAGTTGATTGTAGCTTTTTGCATGTTCTATAGTGAAATCTATAAAAGTAATTTTCTTGATGCAAGGAGGAATCGTCTTCAAATCAGCTTTTCTGGCACTTATCATGCACCTTTGGAGCAGCTGCATTAATCGCAACCTACCTTCTTCCATCTCAGCTTCAAATGGCTTGAGAATTCCGTCCTCCCAAGATTTCTGGTTTAACCCATAAACTTCTTCGTGAAGAAACTTAAGCACAGGATGAAGATGTGAAAGCTGACTATTAGGAGTATTCGGAGTAGGTGTTCCGGTTAACACCCAGCGGCTTGAAGCTCTCATGAAGACAGCCATTTGCAGCTTGTTTGTCACATTCAGGCTTGAGCCAAGGGTATGCCCCTCATCCAGGATAACCCGCAGCCAGTGTACTTCCATCAATGCACTTCTTTTTTTGGGGCTCCATTCCGCACTTAAACGACTGAAAGTAGTAAGAACAATGTCATAATCCCAAGCAAGATGATGAGACGAAGGCTTCTGACCCGGTTTTCTGTTATCACCCCAGACATATACCCTCAACTGACCTGGTCTAACATGTTTTTCGATCTGAACCCTCCAATGATCAACCAAGTTAGCTGGGACTACAATTAAGGTTGCCCGGGACAGATAGAACCTCAATGAATCCAAAGGCTCACAAAGAGAACTTCTGAGGGCAACCAAGTCAAAGACGAGATTTGTAAGATTTTCTGGGTAATACCACCTAGTGACACGCTTTTCTACTCTTTTAATAAGACCAAATGCCTGAAATATGAAGTGATATTCATAGGCAGCATCAGATAAAGGAATCAGTGAAGCAGGATGAGCCAACCCGATTGTTTCCATTTCTGAGAGCTGCTCTGGTGAAAGCTTGGCCAACCAAGTTAAGATTTTCTTTGTTTTGGAGCTCAATAGTTTCTTGTGCTCTTTGAGCACGCTGATGAAGAATGATACATTCTCTTCCAAACCCCCAGGGGTTCCTTTTGTACAGAATCCAGGTAAACATGTCACGGATTCATAATTCCACTTCTCCTCAGGAGCACTACACTCTTGATGCAAGGGATCACTGTTCATTCTACAGAACCAAGCTCTGGAAGAGTCAGCTGCACTTCCATCGACAAGCTTCCGCCACTTGCCACAGCCATCACACTGCACCCATGTTTCATTTTCCAAAATGTGATCCGTGTACGTTATCTTAGCTCTCTTTCGCTTAGAAGATGATCCATCCAAATCACCATTGCATACATGTGAAGAGTTCAGATTAGAGCCACCTGAAGCATGTTTCCTTTTCATAACAGATCGCCTAGTTTGTTTACACAAAGGAGACTCGGAGGCTTCTTCATATTCATTTAGAAGATTTCTCTTAGTTTGACTGTGGTTCCTGAAAGTGTCAGAGGATGTTCTTGTTCCCATTCTAGCTTTTTCTGACAAAATTCCACTGTTGGTATATGATCCATTAATGACCCCAGATTTTTCATCTGCTAGTGGTAACTTTTGAGGGGTGCATATTTCTGAGTTTAAGCTAGGAGTAAGATCATCTTGATTAAATTGTCCCCTCCGAGGATTAAGACACATAACCCTATCACTTTCTGACACTCCATCACTCCCAATGTCTTGAGTGCTAACCTCGTAATAACCACATCTCTGATCAAAATTATGAGCACACCAGACAACTTGTACACCATCTGGAGGATCTGCTAGTGTTCCTTGTGTCTTCAGAATGAGAGAAAGAGCAGTAATAGTCTTACCCAGGCCAGGTTCATCACAAAACATTCCCCCACGAGCGTCCACAATGGAGGGAACTGTACCGGTCACTATTTTACCAGAGACGGCACAGACATAGAAGTCAAAGCCATCTTCAGTGGTAAAGGGCATGAATAAAGGATGTTGAAAGACTTCAGGCTCTCGCTCACGTTGTAACATCCATGTGACGGCAGCCTGCTGATGAGGGAAAAGTTTCAGTTTCACACATGGAATGATTGGTGCGGTCAAGGATCTTAAACGGTGGCATGTTGCTGCAACTCTAACAAGGTCGACAGGTCGAAGTGTAGTTAAAATTGGGATCAGAATATCATCCGGGACCGACCAAATACCAGTCTCACAAGAGGTATCAGCTGGAGTTATGATTGAAGTGTCTAGACTGTCTGTCGTCACAACACTTGGCAAGCTCCGGAAAATTTCATCAAGTTCAAAAAACTTACGGTTAGGAGCTTCTGGAATACTGCATTGGTGTTTGCAACCAATTGCATGACAGTCGGGAACATCCCAGATTCCACAATCATCAGTAAGCCCGGGATTCGAACCAGCAAGCAAACAATGTCTGGTTTTCCAATCACAACTGCAGAGTAGGTAAACAATTAAATGATAAGAAGCTACATTCACAAAATACATATCTGCCTTGAAATTAGTTAATCCTAACACAAAACGATGAAAATAGAAACACAAAATGGAAGACAAAGAAAATCGATAGCAGTAGAGAAAACCTTAAGTGCTTAAATAGTGCAGAGGCAATAGGGCCGCACTTAGGGAACTGCCACCCAGACCACGCGGCAACAAGCAAATACACATCCACCAGAACCACAACCCAAATTTCATCCTCGTGCACAGAAACCCCAATTACACGTGCAATGATGCTCAGGCACTTGTTCATCAACAGAACCCGTAGCTGATGCACCACCGATAAGCTCCCGTTAACCATCCCAATCCTAGTCCATCGTTTCTTAGACGAAGGCGTCGTGCTTGGGTTTTGGCCCTTTTCCTTTGACGCTAAAGCAATGGGCAGCAACACAACATCGTTATCGCACACAAATTGGATGTCGGAGTTATTAGCATACGGATAGCAGCGAGTGTGGATAGGGGGGTGGGTTTGGGGACTGGGTGTAGGGGCAATTTTGAGAACTGTACGAAGAAAACCACAGAGTCTATGATTGGGAACGTGATCAGCAACTCCATTGGAGTTGTCCATATCTGAATCACAGAAGTATTTCTTAATCTTCAGCAAAGCATCCAGGGAGGGTCTCAATTGTGCACTCGGGGAGTTGGATACTGACAAACAGCCTATTTCAAAGATAACAAAGCTAGATAAGTGCACCAAATGAAACACCCTGTAAGTTCAAAACCCAGCTATATATTATGAAACATGATTGGTTTAATTATCCTATAAAATTCAACCACAATCAAATACCTTTACAATTTAACACATACAAAGTTAACTGAAGCCAATTGTTTACAGTCATATAACTTTCACAACAGAAAATATTGACATCAATAATAACAAAGCCATGTAAGGAGTTCAAAAGCATGGAACCCAAAAAAATAGTAAAACCAGTATTCAAATTACTCTATAAACAAGTCGAAAACAGGCAAACACCCCCATATGGGGCTATCCTTAAACCATGTAAGCATTGACCAGCTTACACTTACTCACTGGAAGGATGTTCCGGTTTCGGTCTCAAACACACAGCATTTCCGTAGCCAAATGTGATGCGTGTGTGAATGAGGCCAGTGATGTGATGGACAGTGGATGGACAACAAGAAACAACACCAAAAAGTAAAATCACAGCATGTTTCCAATAGAAGATTACTAGTTAAATTCAAAGAACCGTTCATCAAGGGAAAAAAATATATATAAACTTCCCGCTAGCACTTACAGTTACACTCCTCAATATCCAATTTGATTGCATAGGATAAGTAATTATCAGCTACGATTAATGAAAACAGAAACATTAAGATCACAACACCATTCCCAGGAGAAAACCCATCGCAATTAAAACCCGAAAAAGTAAAACATGTCCAGAAGGATTACTCACTCTTGCCGGGCAATGATTACTACTAGTGTGTAATTGTCCAAGGAATTAAGGACCGGCGGCAATTGCACAGAATATCACAAGCTCACTGGCGGCTGCCCCTTCAAACTCTTCCACCATAAGAATTCTCTCCGCGTCAATAATGATTTGCACCAAGAGGAAGACAAAGAGACGCCACCGGGAAATAGAAGAAGAAGAAGAAACGGCGGGAGAAAAGGGAAACGGCGGAAAAAATCAACGGGCAAATATTTCCTTCGGAAATACAATGCTGAAAGATTCCATCTTTTTCCGTTTGGAGGATGTGACCGGAGATGGGTATTGCGAATTGAGGCGATCACGAAGGCGATAAAAGAAACGAGTTTAGAGAAGAATTATATTCTATTCGGATTTGTTAAGCCGAAAATATCCGAAAAATCTACTACTAATTAGGTATTTTCTTTCTCCTTTTTAATTTTTTTTCCTCTTATTATTATCATGGGAGTTTGAAACCGCCCAAGTCGTAACTACCAATGGGCCCCACTTTCTGTTTTCCCGTGGGTTATTGAGAATGTTAAGCCCTCCGTTTCTCTAATGGTTTCGGTTTAGTGCTCTGTTTGTATACGAAATATTGTGGGCTGATCGGGTATACGTGGCTCCGGCCCAGTCATTGGCATACTGTTGGCCCAAAAGTGCTAATAGTTTGACCCAATGAATAAATTGATAAGAAGGGGAACAATATTTCTAAATCACTTTATGGAAATTTTAATTAACTTTCCAATAATATCTGTAGGAAAAATTGTCAATATCCAGTGAGAAAGTTCAATTTTTTTTTTCAATAACTAATTCCTTTTCTTCCAAAGGGAAAAAAATCCTATTCTTTGCAATAATTATTACTCCCTCCGTCTCATAATTATTGTCCACTTTGCCCAAAAAATTTTGTCCCAAAATTATTGTCCAATTTGACTTTTTATGGATCAAGTTACACATTTGTCCTTAGTAAAAAACATTATCCATAAAATCTTAGTGGTTAAACAATTACTTATGTAGGGGTATATCCGGTTGTTTAAGGTAAAATATAGTTAAGTTTGACTAAAAATAAAATCTTTCATTTTAGTAAAACTGGACAATAATTATGAGACGGAGGGAGTAGTTAACAAATTTTGGGAAATTAAAATTAATCACCTGATTAAATAGTTAACAGCAATAATAAGTTTCCTCATTAGTTCAAATAGTTAGGAAACACGCCAAGTAATGAATTTCAAAACTTACATAATAATCTTAAACTAGGCTTTTCTCGTCGTGCGTTGCGCGTCAAGTGCTTCGATTAACTTTTATACTTTCTTCGTTTTTTGAGAAAGTTATTTATAGTTACACATTTTGCGATTGAAAGCTTTTTTTTTCTTTTTATACAGGTCCAAGTCCACGTATGAAGTCAATATCGGCCACTGATGAAGGAACAATTTGCTTCAATACTTGATGAGAACTAACTAACCAAAATCTTTTTTGGTTTGCCTCATCTATAATACTCTCAAGAACAAAACTCACCTTAACAGAAGAATAAAATCTTTCTGCATCAATTCCTCCAAGAAAACAAACTGAAGGAAAACCAAAATAACTCCAATGAAGAATAAAAAATAAAAAATAAAAATTGTGTATCATCAGTTACGTACAGTAAACAGTAATCAATTTCCTTATGTATTAATCGATTCCCTTGCCATCCACTCCCCTCTGCCTCTTTGCCACGAATTCACTTTTGTTTATCATTGTTGTGCTACTTCCTTCAATTGGAGGAAGTCAAAAAAGTGACGGGGGAATAGAGTTGTGGGTTTTGCTTAGAAAATGAGCACAAAAACGTTAGCATTCAAAGTCAAAATGCAAATAAAACATATTTGTATGAAGCTGAATCTCAAATAACCCATGAGATCAAGTTGTAGAAAACAAAATTTATATTCACTCGATTAAAAAGGAAACTCGATAATTATGATTTCGCGCGAAGGATAATACAAAGCTAACAATTTGTAATAGTACTTGCAACTTCAGACACAGCTAGCTGACGAAAAAGCAGAAGATCATCAATATCTCAAATATCTCAAATCCAATTCCTTTGTTAGCCCATAAAAAAGTATTGGTTGATCTAACGTAAAACCCAACTAACTATTACTGAACTTGGTACATGGTAGTATATCACCTTTTCTTGATATCTTCATTGCCCGATTCTTGCATATTAGTACCGAGAAGGCGAGAAATGCTCTTTACAAGCGTTTTTGCATATTACTAATTCCTCAGGCCAGTTCTTCGATCGCAACAAACTAATTTCGATACAACTGAAAGGAAAGAACAATCACCATCTGAAGATTGATAAGTATGGGAATTATCCATAGAAAATCCACCAGTCGAAAGTGCCAGGACTTTCAAGGATACCGGCGCATCATCAACAAAGCGGGAGCATCAGGCAAGAAAGGGGACCTTGGCGAGGCCAGAAATATGGAAAGGAATCTTTCCGTAGGATTTTCTTTCCAAACCGGCGCTTGGTCTTCTCAATGGTGGCTCTTTGATTTCCTGCTTGTCCTGCTTGGTGTACTGATTTGATTCCTAGCACGGGGTAAGCCCAGAGATGTCAGCGAATGCAAAAGCCAAGAAAAGAATGGAAGAAAGAGCAAGTGCAGGTGAAAACTCTTGCAATGAAGAAATCTAGTAGTAACACGCTCCTGAAACAAAACCAGTCCTCTATAAAGTTGACAGAGATGACAAGGAGACCATACCTTCAATTCTTCAAAATCAGTATATGGTTGTGAAATCGGATGAGTAAAAGGCATTAAGCCAACGTATTGAATCTGACCTTTAAAATCGTAGCTTTCGAGACATCTCTGCACATCTTTTCACCTGCAGAGGAGCAAAAGAACTCCATCTGAGTAAGCTACATAGGTATTCATGCATCTAATCCTTATACTTAATATAAAGGCATATAGGCAAGAAATTAACCCATCTGGTATTGTCTGAATACAACAAATTTACACAAACTAAGAAAAATGTAGAGAAGAAAATTGCTATGTAGTCGAACAAGAGAAAAGTTCTAAAGTTTTATACCTAAATCCAATAACCAAAAGACACCATCTCATCCTTATTAATTTCAATTGAAAGACTTTTTTTTTTGTGATAAAGCTTACAGAAGCAGAAGCAAAAAAATCTCTTCAGACGATTTGCTTCAACACAACAAAATCAATGTCCCTAACTCTTAGTCAAAACTGAACTAAAAAGGCTACACAAAATTTTCAAAATCAAAATTTTCAACTGGGCCCTTTCAGAGTGGTGGATGGTTGAGCTCACTGTTATGCTAGAAATTTTTGGCATTCTTATCTATTTCAAGCCTTGTAACCTTTGCAAATCCTATCTATTGCAACCAAAATTTGAGGACAAAAACTGGCCATAAAGACTTCCAAGTTTCTAATAGACATCATAAAGAAATAAGTAACAAATGAATTCTTCCCTAAATGTTAGGCCAATGAGCACACGAGAGAAGACATGATATGACCATATAAGCTACTCAATAGCCAAATAATTTGTCTTGTAGTTCATAATCAAACAATATGACTTAATGAGAACACTACACTCAGACCATTCATTCACTTAAATAATTAAATCCTAAGGAGATCGTACATGTTTCTTGCTCAGCTGCAATCTTAGTTTCTAACACAAAATTCATTCCAAAATGATCAGTAAATTGTAGTCTTTACTTTTTAGCTGCATTTTTATCCACCATAGCTCTCAAAATCTACAACACTCAAACGGTACAAGTATCCTCAACATTTATTCAAAATTAAGCTGTGACTACTTGAATTGCCAATTAGGCATCCCAGACCTTAAAGGACTACACCAACTTCCATTAAATACTTCTGGTTTGAGCTAACCAGTGAAGATCATATACAATTTAGATAATTGGTTAACAAAACAAATCAATTAAAGAAAGTTTTTTGGAGCCTCTCTGTAGTTTCAGTAATCTAACAGCAGGTAATAACTTTGTGAAAGTTGGAAGAAATATGTTGTGCAAAGGGAAGAACATTCAGAAAGAATATTCAAACCTTTTCTATATGCTGGCATCTGTAGACATTGCCACAAAGATTTCCAGGATTACAATAAGTATTGAAACTCCAAATGGAAGTAAAATCAGCTGTACAAAGAAATCCATAATCAAAATTCTATTGAGGAAGAACAGAGCACATAATTACATAGAATGGAATCGAGATTCATAAAAGCATGGAATCGAGATTTAGTTGAGCAAAACCGAAAGCATGCAAAATCGATCAACAACATAAAACTCATAGCAGGTTAGAATACTCAATCATGTACACGCAATGACACCAACAATAATCCTAAATTTGTTAAAGTCTGGAGAGAAAACATAGTGATGCAGAAACAAAAATAATTGAAGCTACGATAGTTAATTGATGCTATGCAGGTACAGTGAATAGTTGCCGAGAGTTGCAAAAATATTCTACCAAAAATATTTGTAAAGGAGGAGAAATTACCTGTTACGAGCCGGGAGTTGCAAAGCTGTAAAGAGAGGTTGGGAGTTACAAAGCTGTAAAGGGAGGTTGTCGTGATTTTATTTTGGGGGATTGCTAGGGTTTTTATAGAACGGATGCCGACTTTGAGATTGTAATCCGATTGGGCTTACAATTCACTTATAAATCGACTTGCAATTGGTAATCTTTTTTCTGGTGATTTCCTAATAGTATTCGAAGATGGAAATCGGAAATTGTTTCTCGTTGGCCCAAAAAAAATCCACGGCCCAAGGCCATGGTGTCGGTGGAGAAGCCGCCGGCGGTGTTGTGGTCACGGTGGGAACGAGACGATTGGCTGATTTCCGACGGAGGGAGCAGAGAAAAAAGTCGGGGGAAGGTAATTCTGAGAACGAGGAGGTTGGTGAAGATGAATTGACAACGTCGTGGGCTGGAATAAATCGACGGCCCAACCAATTAATCCTTGTGCCATTTCCACTGGCGGAGCTTCACTCTTTTGGGTTTCTACCTTGTGGAGCCGACGTCGTCTCTGAACAATTGAATAACGGCGGAGGCTGGCAGAAGAAGTAACACCGGCTGGGAAAAATTGGGGAGTGGAGCCAATGTCATCTCTGGACAATTGAATAACGGCGGAGGCTGGCAGAGGGAGTAATGGTGACTGGGGGGAAATGGGGAGGACGACTTAAAAAAAATTAATTGGATACAGACGTCTGAAATTTGGTATCAGGTCGGTGAGGTTAATCAGATGGAGCAGCGTAGGCGGAGCATGAGAGGAGACTGGGTTTTTATTTTTTGGGGGAAGATGTGGTGGACGACGGGGGAGTGGGGAATTTTTTTTGTTAGACAGAAGGGTAATGCTGTAATTCTAGTTGGTAGTGGTACGGCGTCGTTTTTTTCCTTGGGGGTTTTCCCCTCAAAAGATTACGTTTTTTTTTTAAATTGGAGAGGATCTGCTGAATTTATAAAAATCCGTTCTTGACCCTAATAAGTCGCTGACGTCGTATCGAGGCCATTTGACAGAGCAGATCGCTTTGAAGGTGGCCCTAAATATTTCTTGGACATTTAATTTCTTGCCTACTGTGCCTTTATATTAAGTATAAGGATGAATTACGAAGATAGTAGATATTAGTATTACCCAATTTATATAATTTAATTTCTCTATTAATTTTCAAAACTTCATGCTTACATACAACTAGTACTAAAATAGTACTCTCGTTGTCTCCAAAAAAAAAAAAGTACAGTTTTTAGTTTGTGAATTGCACTAAAAATAATATATCTCATGTTAATTATTTTTTAGCACGACAAGGATACATAAAAGTCAGAAGACGAAAGAAACACGAATTATGAACTGGATGAAGGCTCCACATGAATACAAAATTACTGTATATATGAAACATTGAACGACATATATATGAAATAAGAGAATGATCATTTGGAAATGGAAAATTAAGTAATTTTATCACATTTTGAAACCGTAAATTGCAACTCAGTGCACGCGATATATCAGTTGAAAACATATATATTCAGCGTCAATGATCTACGAAGAAGAGCCCTTTACTTTTATTTCATTTGAGGTGACTTTGGTGAGTTTCATAATTAACTATTACATTACATTTTCACTTAAATTTGTCAAAAACAGTCGTACGAACCGAATGAAGGCCCGCCAGTGGCACGGAGCGGTACTTCATCAAAATTCAAAGGGTGCAAAATCACGACTTTTATTATTTGTATTTCGGTACATTAAATTAAATTAAGAGGTTAATACCAAAAGCGTAAAATCAAAATACCGTGCTAAATCAAATTTATACTTTACTAATTAGGTGCAATATTTCTCGATTTTTTACCACTTCAAAATAACGAATTTATTATTATTATTATTATTATTATTATTATTATTATTATGAAGAGAAAATGGCGGGAAAAGAAGAAGAGAGTAGAATGCATGTCTAGATTCATCATTTTTGTATAAAACTCCGAAAAACAATAAAAGAGGGATTTATTGTGGTAGGCAACGGGAGAGTATCCAAATTACGAACCTCAAAACCTAAATTCCAAGTTCCTACTACACATTTCACTTCAGACAAATAGTCGTCTTTCCTTAAACCCTCTTGCATGCTTTAATATTCCACCAAATAAATTGTCCGATAGACTCTGAAAAATGTCGGAACAACACCACCAAAACTACTTTAGCCTTAGTGATCTCCTCAAAGATCCACCGCCACCGTGTTCTGACAAAATACGTAGAAGATTCAATCCGGCCCTCTGGTAACGGAGTTTTTTTGGGAGCTTTACTTCAAAGAAAGACCCTCTTCTTCCCCAAAACAGTCCATTGATGCCGGAAAGGTATTGCATTACTACTCTTCCAGGGATAACGTCACGAGGGAAAATGAATTGTTGCCACCGGACGGCGAGCGTGCGGCAGCGGTGACAACGAGGACGAAACCTTGCAGAAGAAGCCAAAAGGTTGAAGTGGAGGAAGCGAAGAATGCCAATTTATGGATGACGGGAAGAATGAGAAAGAACGTGATGTAACCAACAAAGGTTGAACAATTATATATTATGAAATTGTAGCAGTTTTGATCGAAACTTTTTTCTTTTTTTTTAATAAATAAAAATAGGTTGTGTAATCACGGGTTCTCCTTTAAGCAGATATCATCTTGAATCACAATTCAATTCAAGTTAATTTCACCCTCCAAAACAAATTTCAATTTTCGTCTCTACCCTCTCTTAAAGAAATAAAAATAATGACCTAGAAATCACTATTTGAAAATGAGTCAATATACTGTCAATTGACTTATACACTTCCCGAAAGTTCAACAATATTCTTTCCGTTCCATTTTAATATTTAGTTTTGTTGAACCAACACTGTTAATTTTGCTGAACTAAAATGGATTATTGTAATTAAGAAGATTAAAAACTGGATTTTTTTTTTCTAAAACTCAGCATGAAAATTCAAATCTATTTTGTCAAATGCGGAAAACAAATTACTGGCTCTTACATTCATATCATTGCATACGTATCTCGTAGATTCTCAAAGCATCGTGAAATTGGTGCGACACTGCGACTTAACCGAGCTCAGTGTACACCAAGCTCAGTTTCCCGTTGTTTTGAGGTGTGCTTAATTTATTGATCTTCACAAAAATTAGAGTACATGTATCCCCAAATTGATTGAATTTGTAAAAGGCAGCAGAACACAATTAGTACGAACAAAGCACGTGAGTGTCACGAGCGATATCGGTTTAGGCCATCCATGAACCACTCCTCAAAACTAAGTTTTTTTTTTTCCTTTCTTTTCAGAGGAAAAAAAAATGCGTGTAAATAGAAGACAGCTAATTCTCTAGTATAGCTACATAATAATTTTTCTTAAACTCGGAAAATAAAATTGAAGAGAAATCTGGTAATTCAAACAAGTGGAAGTCACAGCTCTAAATTCACATTTACAGACTCATAGTTGCCAATTTCCATTGTAAAACTATTTTTATTTCCTACTCAATTGTAGTTGTGTTATAGTAAATATAGATTTATTGAGAAATCAAACCACGTAAATCGTGTAATTTTTGTTTAATTTTTGTGTGATCTTCAGTATTTGTGCACATAAAGGGAATTAAAAAACAAAATTTCTTTTAAAAAAAAACACACACACACACACAAACACGTTTGTTGATAAAATCTTGCTGATTCCGAACAGCGAGCGTGCTCCGGATGATGGGAGCAATTAGAGGAAGATCAAGAAATTGCTGCAACAAAGAAAACTTTGAACTTTTTTTTTTTTAACCGGAAAACGTTGAACTATAAGATATGGAGACTCCCCATTTTCTATGTTTTAGATTAATGAATATTTAAAAAAGTCTCCTCTCTTTATACTCAAAAAAATTAAATAACTATGAATCACATCTTTGAAATAGTAGGATCACTTGTCTAATAATGCTATATATATGCTTCTTGTCCAAAAAACAAATAACCAAACTAATACTCCCTCCGTCCCATAATTATTGTCCACTTTGTCCAAAAAATTTTGTCCCCAAATTATTGTCCAATTTGACTTTTTATAGATCAAGTTACACATTTGTCCTTAGTAAAAAAACATTATCCATAAAATCTTAGCGGTTAAACAATTACTTATGTAGGGGTATATCCGTTTGTTTAAGATAAAATATAGTTAAGTTTGACCAAAAATAAAATCTTTCAATTTAGTAAAACTGGACAATAATTATGGGACGGAAGGAGTAAAAAAAAAAAAGAGGAGCACCATAAAGCAAAAATGGATCATTACGTTAAGAAACATTGATACATGACCAAAATTCGTCCGAGAAAGAAACTGTTAAGTGAATAAAATTAATGGCATTTTTATCATTTGAATAATCATTAATTAATGGGCTAAAAAGTTCTAGGCTAAAATAAACCCTGATTCTTTATTGGAAGCGTAGAAATAAATTGAGAACCCGATGGTTATATGATGAAGTAGAAGGCCTTCCTAATCCATTTCCAAATCGACACCTGATAAATAATACCGGTGGAAACCCTAATGCCCCGGCTGTTGGCAACCCTCTCTTATGTAGTTTTATACGCATCTGTTATGCTGAATCTTTATGATTGTTTTTTTTTTTGTTTTTTTTTTTGTTTTTTTTACGAATATCATGGTTTTGTGCTTTTTAATTGTTACTATTTACATCTCAGTTTAAACTATCTATCATTTCGTTTATGTTTTATAGATGTACACGTATTGCAAATAAAATAATGTTGTAATTTGGTTATTAATTATCAAAAAAAAAAAAAAATTAGTACTAGTAGTAATTTCATATCTGGAACCCAAAAAATAAGGGCAGAACCGCAAAAGGAAAAAAATATTGCACTTTAAAGGGACTGATTTTACATATTCACGTTATCACCTTTTTACTCGAAGCAAATATTTTTTTCTAACCCCATATGACATCCAGAAAATACTTTTATATATTTATTTATTTATATATAATTTCATTCAAATTAGGAGTTTCTTTTTCTATGAGCTTAAAATTAAACCAGAGGGAGCCACAGGGACATCCACCCAAGCCAAGGCATCTAGCTAGTTAAAAAGATATATAGTAGTAATTTTATTTTTTAGTTATTTTTTTTAATTTTTGGAAAAAGAAAACACGCACGCATATGGCACGAATGATGTTCGATAAAGTGTTAAGAATAAAAAGTTTATTTGTTAAAATTGAACTCACAAACACAATAGTGCATTTATAGCCTATAGGCACTTGTTTTTTCATAAACTAAAAGTTCATACCATTGTGGAGGCTGGAGGGATTTTTTTTTTTTTTTGGATGGAGCTTATTAAAAAGTTCAAACTGAAATGTCAAAATAAAAACCCAAAGAAACACTGAATAACCAACCATCATCAGGACATGCCAGAAAAAAAAAAACCAACAAGTACTACAAATCAGTAAAATCTCCTCTCTATGGGGTCGAAGTTGAAACCGTTGCCTTGATAGTAACGACCTCCGGAAGGAGCAGGAGCAGGAGCAGCAGCAGTTGAAGTAAACAGTACAGCCGCCGCCATCATTACCGGCCACCGGCAAGGCACTTGGGTTATTATTATTCTGTCCAACTCCGGTATTCGGGGCGGTGGGGGCGGGCGCAGGGGAACTGGAAGAAGCAGCGGCGCTGCATACGGAACCCCCTTATCTGTTGGACACAGGAATCCACAAAGCTGACGGTGGGAAAATGCGAGGTGGTTGAACATGTAAACTCCTATTTTCTTCGTATGTGGTGGGATTTGTAGGTCCACTTTTGTCTTTTATTTTACCGGGCTTACTGCAGGCCTTAATTTTTTCATTTAAACGCCTTAAAAAATCTTTAAAAACTATTTTTTCCTCACATACATACTTTTTTTTAAAAAACGAGAGAGGACGAGAAAAGGCTGGCGCAGGAGAAAGGTGTCACTCTTTAAAGGATGGCGCACAATTTTCTCGCCTCCATGTGCCCAAAATGGGGGTGGCGCACAAATCTGGCACCACTCCCCTTATTGCTCGCCAAACCGAAATTAATTTTTTAAAAAATTATTTAATTAATTTTTTAATTTATTTAGTTTTAAAATTTATTTATTTAATTAATAAAAGATAATTATAATGGATTATCTTCTAACTTAATACAAAGAAATTATCTTTCAACTTATTTAAACTAAAGCTTAGTTGCTCAAAATGACAAAATAACTAAGTCCTCATTGTCTATAGCTTTTCATAAGTTTTAGTTGTTATAAAATGATAATTTTTTAATTTAAGTTTAAAAATTTTTACATAATTAAATGATAAATTTACTACGTAATTAATCAACATTCTCCAAATATTTAAGTTAAAAAATTATTTATATAACCGCCATACAAATAAATAAATATACAAATAAATTAATTAATTAATTAATTAAATAAATTAAAAAAGAAATAAATTAAATAATTTTTTTTAAAAAAAGGGTGGCGGCCGGTTGGACCGCCACCCAATCAGTTTGGCGAGCGGTTTGCTCGCCAAACCGGGGGGGTGGCGAGCGATTTGTGCGTCGCCCTCGCCACCCCCTTTTAAGGGGCAAAAAAAATTCTCGCCACCCCAAGAAGGGTGGCGAGAAAAGTGCACGTTCCTCCTGTGCCAGCCGTGAAAGGTTGGCGTAATTATTCGTCGCCCCCTCCCTTTTTCAAAAAATAAAAATAAAAACAACGGTAAAATAATCTTTTTAAATTTTTTTAAGGCGCTCAAATGAGAAAATTAGGGTGCTCAACAGTTTGATCATTTGCGTAAGGCGATTTTTTTTTTCTCCAAATGGTTATACGCTGGGGTGAAAATCACCTGTACCACTTTACTGTACTAATTCATGTATCATTGGATGTGGAGCCAACACGTATCCTATAAATTTTTGCATTAAGCTTCTTCATTCGAGAAAATATTCAATGCAGCGGTTATATTACGTAGGATTGTACATCCAGACACAATAGATAGGGTAAAATAGTAATTTTGAGGGAGAAAATGATAACTGTTACGGAAGTTTAGCAATAAAATAGGGGTGATAGTACTTGTTGTACTAAAGGATGCAACTCTTGTATAGAATATTTTTTCTCTTCATCCGTGCACATCCAGGTATTTTTTTTTTTTTTTTAAAGCCCGCACAAACGTGCATACCAATATAGATGCCAAAGCAAAAGTTATACAACAGATGCAACACATACTCTCTGAGCAAGGATATGTGCAGCATTCACCTGTGATCTAGAAGCGTTAACAATACAAAGAGAACGAAATCAATTCATGCAGCTTGACAATTGTAAGAGCTTTATGGGCTGGGTTTCCGGTCATTATGTATATAATAATCTTTTAAAATTCTTTGTGGCTTAAAAAAAATGTGCACCGTTAAAATATAGAATTTTTTCCTTTATAATTTGCAACTGCTAAAATTTACAACGGCTAAATTTTTTTTTATTAATTTTCTCTATAATTTTAATTTTAAAACGACTAACAATTTCTTCTATAAATAACTTCTATTCCACTTCACCATCTTTTTTTTTTTTCTTCACAAGCCATCGTATCTTATATTTCAATCTCTTCATCTCCTATTCTCTTTTGCATCACAATGGATGAAAATAATAATCGTGGCAATTTTTCCTTTTATGTAATGTGATATCTACATTTCAAATTTTAATTAATCATCTAATTTTCTAAAAAATATTTTTTTTTAATTTCTAATATTAATCTAAATTTATAGTTGGTATTTCAATGTATATAATTTGAAATAGAATTACGTAATTTTATAGTGGGCCCATGATGGGTGTTTTTTAAAAATTTTGATATAAATTAAGATGGTTTATACTATTGTAGTGAGAGTGTAATAGAATTTGACATTAATTATTTTTTGTGGAATGATGACGTGGACCGTTTATAAAACTAGGCTAAAGATGCCCTTATGGCTATTCTTGAATTACTTGGAAGAAACTGGATTGTCTAGTTAGATGCATGAATTTCGGGAATCGAATTTTACAACTGATTATTTGGTTTCCGTGACTACTTTTGATTCTGAGTGATTGCAACTATTTATCACCAGAGATCAAGTCATGGTTAGAACACAACTACATCCGCTTTTCTTCTTATCCATGATCGATTCTAATGTATGACCGCCCCTTACGAGAGTAGCAGAAGTTTGGGGTAATCTGCTTAGTAAGCTTCCCATGAAGCTTACAATAGATGGGCTTAAAACTTGTCTTTGGGTGTCTGCTCATTCTTCATATCATACAAATCTGTGTCCTCCGCCATCCTTTCTTCACACAGTAGGCACGGGCTCATCGATCACTATTAAATCGGCTCATATCTTGCTTCACATTCATATTTCACGATTCAACCAGTCTTGCTTCTTGCAGCTGCACAATAAATTGGAAGACAAGAAACTAATAAACCTGGAGATGTTATTACCGACCAAATTTTCTGATGATGTTAAGCGATAATTAGGAGAAGAATGTTACTGCTTAAATTAATGATACTTTCGTGCATATAACAACTCTAAGCAAAAATTTGCCTCCCACAAGTTTGGCTAAAGATAGTGTTAAGTTTTGATGATGAAGCAAAAACATTTGCTGAAGAAACCGTGCTGATTCCGAGCAGTGAGTGTGTCCCCATGTGGAACTGGCTCTTTAGAGGCACGATGGACGCTTGAAGACCGAAGTAGTTGTTGATGAGGAGGAGATGAAGATTTATTTTATTTTATTTTATTTTATTTCTAAATTTGATTTAATCTTGTCTTGTTGAATTTAACGATTTATCTAGTATTTTTCCGTTCCAAATTGTTGTCCAGTTTAGATTTTCAATTTTAGTTCAATTTATACTAAAACCGAAAATCCAAACTGAATTATTAGTTCAATTTATACTAAAACTGAAAATCCAAACTGAATAATAATTCTGGGAGTATGATATATTTTATGAAATCATGAATGTATAATATAATAACTGTGCTAGCATTACTTGATTCGGAAAACAAAATCGGCAAACTAGTTCTAACTTGATTTTAATTCGAACCAAAATGGTAATTACTTTACACTGAACTTCCTGCTAACACTTCTTCAAAAATTCAAAAAAAAAAAAAAAAAAATCCCTGCTAAGACGTTATGATCTCTCCAGAGCTCCGATACAATAAGACAGACTTGACATCACAACGGCAAATCAAAATCGATCTGTTTTAAGTATTTATTAGAATCTTGGAACAACTAATAGGACCGTAACCTTCCACAAATGGGAGAATATACAGCAGCATTGTGAATATTTTTTTTTACATTGCAGAAGCAGAGCTATATCTTTCTTCTATCAAATTTTGATACTCGCAGAGAATATCAACACTTGAAACCTCCACATGCAATAAGCCAGAAAATAAGAATCAGAATTAGAATTGCACCGCCAACCATCAATTTCATTTGAAGGTTCTGCAGCCACATCTTCCTACGAAGCTGCCTTCCTTGCCTCTGGAATGTGTCAGCCTGGACATATTTACATACATACAGGTCACAATATACTACAAAAGATTTGCTAAGCTCTTCACAATCTACAAAAAGTAGTATATAACCTGGAACTGAAGATTTTCTGTCTTATCAACCAGCAACTCGATCTTCTCACCTCGGTCCAGAACCTGCAGAATCAAGAATTGAAGTAATAACATAACTTTTGATATATTAACATTGATGAATAATAAAATACTCCCCTCGTACCAGTTCCTCCCAATCTGGTGTGTAACAGAAAAGTTAATGAAATGTTTCAAAATTTATCAAAAACAGCGACTTCGAGAGTAGGAGATAAACAAGATGAAAATCACTTCGGTATCAGGTCTAAGAGATAGGCAAATGACAATTTGTTCATAGTATATGCCAAGAGAATTCTCAACTTTCTAGCATATGTAACCAATACTGTAAGAAATACCATTTTAATTAGATTTTTGGAATTTCTCTTACTAAACGAGCTCGGAGAACATATGGATCCCAGGCATAGAAATTGTATGAAATAAAAATTTAAAAGTCACCATTCTACATCATCCTAAGCAGCAAAAGCTAAAGAGTAAATGAAGCTGCTCTTCCACAGACCCCACATTATACACAGCACGACTCACAAGTGATTGAATTGGGTACATGTATAGCATTGGCCACCGCATCAGTGTTACCCCATCACACAATTTTTCATAAATTAATGAGTCTCATGTGCAAGTTATTAAAGAACCAAGCATCACCACAATTTTAAGGCAACCAACTCGAATACAAAAAGGTCAGTCAAAACTCTACATTTTTATCTGCAGCTGAAGAAAACTAATCCAGCGGCTAAAATGTTGGCATATATTGCACAAACACTGCTCTGCATAAAGCGCCTATTTGGATCATGAGCTATGCACGTGAAGCGAAGAACAAAAAGACATAGAGAATATGCTGTTAGAATATGGGATAAGGAAAAAAAATTCCCGCTTGGAGGATTCCCGGCACTGCTCAAATGCCTGAGCATCTCAAACCAGAAAAGAAATAAATAAAAAAGCTTAACAGCATACAATTCTCTCCACATCCCCAACAAGTTTGTCTTAGACCCAAACTCAGAAAATTCTTTGATAAAGTTTCGAACTAAAACATTTCCTTTTAATGGCACTTCGCCAAATTTAAACCAAATTTCATCCGTTACAGTGATCTAATATCATGAAGGGAGTTCCTTAGCTACCAAAATTTATTTCCTCAAATGAAGAACTAGTTCTACGTGAAAATTAGATAAATTCTTTTTCAGTGATCCATTGTTCAACTTTGTAATGAAAATACACCACAAGTCTACTAACTACCAATCAATATTCTCCACCTGATGACTAAACCTGATATCTCATCTATCCGAAAGCAGAACAAATTAAAGTAAGCATACCCACAAAAGCTTATGTCGACCGAAAGCACAACGAAAAAAGGAATGGAAAGCTTTCCAAATGCAGAGTTCATAAGTCAGCACCCAAAAAAAGGTAAGTGGAAGCCTAATGTTTTCCACATAATTTCTTCCATCTATTCTCCTTTTAGAGGAAAGACGCAGTACCTTTTCAATGTTGTCCATCATTACCCCTTTAACTTCTGAAAGCTGAGCCTTTATTTTGGACAGCTTACTCATTTCTTCAGGGTGGCTCATGCAATACTGCATATGCTCCTTAAGCTTAGGCCTGAAAACACAAAGATGGTGAATCAGTTACCAGGGCTGGAATTACCTAAAAAAAGGAGTGAAAGAAGTACGACAGAACAACAAAAGTTATGAAGCACAAGCTTGAAATCTGCCTACCCAAACTCTCGGTCAAGATTATATGCTATGCTAAATCGGTCTCCGAATAAGTCATCATCTTCATCATCATCAGCAAGTGGGTGTGGCTCATCTGGTTTGATGCTTGCTGCATACTGCTTCTTGAAGTCATCCTTCACTCTCTCAAGAAACACAAAGGGCACACTCCTCCCCATGGTCTCATCCGCAACAACAAGAAAAACTACATGCCAGAAAATGTTTAATGTAAGAGTTAAATCACTAAGGACGAAATATCAATAACCATTGAAATTGAAATTATAAGCACATGAGCACAAAGGGACTATAGAAGAAGAAATTACCGAAACCACTGTCAAGGAGAAAGTTGAAAGTGTGGCCATCGCAAGAGAATGTATACTTGGTGCGGTTGGACGATAATTTCTGCAAGCACTGGACAGCTATGGTACTGAAGTTGCCAGAGTAAGATGTGTGCTCCGCCAGCACAACTGTTCCTTTGGCAACAAAGCTGTAAATTAAACCCCTCTGACTCATTCCTGCTAAATCTGATTCAATACAATAGCTCCCTTCCACCAAGCACCGACGACCTACAAGTTTGGGAAACTCAATGACTGGCGAATTCAAAATAGAAACTTCAAAATCCTGTTCTTACATCAAAGAAGACCATCAGGGACCTCAAAGAATTCACTATGCTCAAACCATTAGCGGAATGCAGCGTACAATTATTGAACTAACATGGCGCCACTAATGAAATGTTGAACCCAAACAAATTAAAATGCCTGTGTCTGATTAAAACCCTAACATGCGCACAAAGAACTGAAAGACCATTGAAGCGCAAACTCCACCAAACGCCAGAAATTTGCGAAAGAGAAAACCGAATTAAAAAGCTTGATCTCGGACTAATCGCACACAGAAAACGAATACACCGTGAAATAAACATTGTCAAACCAATACAGATGCAACCGCATCTCGTTGCACTGAAGCTAATATAAGAAGAAACAAAACAAACTCAATATAACCAAAAGAAAAACAAAGGAAAGAGATATGCACCTGAAACCTGTGAGGTTGGAAGCAAAGATTAATTGCTCCAAGGGGACGAACGAAACCGAAAACCAGAGTGATTCGACAGCAGAATGAAGTGATTATTACGACGGATTGGAAGATACGGACGGCGGAGAAGGAGCAAGGAAACGGAGACTGGAGGACTCAGTCAGGTGGATGGGGGAGGAGGTTGCTTAATTAGATTAGCTTCCGATTTTGGGCGTGCTGCTTACGTGGCGATCCAATTGTGACAACTGGAAGAAGTAGTCGTAGGGGAAAAAACTTTCAGAGAAGGAAGAAGATGATAAACAGCTAATAACAATTTCTATGTTTTGACGATCGGTTATGGTGGGGGAAGGTTGACTGACCGTCACGCTCTTGTGCAGATCTAACCGCTATGGCGCTTCCTTGGAATGGGAACGACTTCTTCCGGTTTTCACTTGAGCTTGAGCCACAGACTCGGGGGGTTCAAAAATAAATAAACGAAATTATTTGCGACAAAGCAGCCCCTTAATTTTTAGGGATAATAATTTTTAACACCGAAACATATACTCTGACCATCCGTACTAAAAATAAAAACTCAATAATAATTTAGGAAAATTTGGATAAAGGGCAGTGAAGAATAAATAATTAATAAAGAGGACAACACTTTTGAATAATTTGTATTAAAGGCATATCAATTCATCTAAACAAACATGACTTTAAATTTAGCTTCTCTTTCTTTTTTTTTTTGAACCCAAAACATAGCAATTACAGCAAAATTAAGATAGAAAATTCAAACAACAAATTCAGAAAAAGATGCATAAGAGAGAGTGTATAAAAGAAGAAGAAGCCACAGGTGGCTACTCTTTATATTGACTTTAAATTTTGATATTAATAAAAACCCTACTATATAAATCTAAATTCTTAGAAAGTTAATTTAATTTATTTTTCTCGTTTAGTCTTATTTATATAAAAATACTAAACCCGTCAGTGACCACATATACTTAATTTTTTTGATATTATTATATTTAAAAATTTCAAAACATGGAAGTAATTTAATTAACTCTAGTAAGTATGTTGTATGCCTTGTTTGAAGTACAAGTTCAGAAGGGAGAGGGGGGAGGGGGTTATATGAAAGTGAAAAACAAAAATTTACTCAAAAAAATAAAAAAATATTAACATTATATTTACTTAAAAATAATTATTTAAAAATATTAACATTATACAAAAAAAAATCGCCTATCAACAATTAAGAATTATTAACGTTTTTATTTTTAAAGTCAACATAATATTTTTTTTCACATCCTTTAATACATTACATTTTCCATATTGATACAAAAAATATAATAATCACTAAAAGATTTAATTTATGTGTTTAAAAATCAAATGAAAAAAACAAGATGCTTTTATTTCAAAAGTACTACCTTCTTTATTAATTATTTAGTCTCCACTGCCCCTAATTCAAATTTTCCTTAATAATTTCATAATTTTGAGACAGGTGGAGAAGGTATTACTTTTCACTTTTTCGTACAAGGGCATAATCATCACCTCCGGTACTTCACATTTAGAACAAGCACATCCCAGCGTTTCCAATGATACGACAGAATAATAGCAAACATCGAAATAAAATGACACCACAAGAGACCTGATCTTTGAGATTTGAAAGTAGATTTCCTGTTTACGGTTACAGACAACCTAGAGTTCAATGGCGAACATACAGCTATATCTTCACATTCTTCCGTAAACTTGGTGAAGCTAGCTGAGGCGTCCGAAGTTCAAATGGGGAGTACTTCATTCTGATTCTTCAAAATCAATATGAATTTGAAGACACTTATGACACGTTATAAGCTAGAAGAAGAAAAATAATGCGGGGTTGACAAGGGCACAATTTCGTCCCAGCTTAGCATTTCTGTTGTTGGGGATAGAAGCACCACCTAAGTAACCCAAACGGCTTTTTGGTTTCAATGTTTAAGAATTACAAACGATCAGCTATAGACCAATTTCATTCCATTAACAGATGGAGGCGCGCCTCGGGTTGTTTTGACAAAAGCAACATAGTCACTGAAGTGCATGGTGTAGAGCGTGCTCTGGTAGCGGGTGACTCGAACCCGCATTCTGAGTGATTCAGTTATGGTGCCATTGTAACCTGCTTTCCGCATCAGCGAATCAATTGCTTCTTTCTGAGTCCAACCTGATAAAAAAACAAGATGAACAAGGACGTTATTTTCCACCGCAAGAAAAGTAAGCTAGTTCAGAAGTGCAGCACGTAATTCTTATGACAGTTATATGGTGAAAAAATTATCAGAAAACCAAAAGTCTCCCACAAGATTCATGGAGCCGATACTGTTAGTTGAGAAAGTTTCCTCGCCCGAAAAGATAGACCAGCTGGTGATAATTATACTAACTTAGCAATTCAGAAAATATACCGGTAGATGGAACTTATCAGGCTCTTCACTACATGAAAGTTGGTCAAAAAAACACATCAATGTTTTCTCCATAGTGCAAACATCGGCATCAATCAGGGTGAAACATAAAAGCACCATATACATGGTAAACAATTAAACATAACAACACATTTCTATGTTCCTTAGTATTTTCTGGAAGAGAAAATGAGGAAAAGAAAACCGTATAAATTAATATCTGCCTGTGGTCCATCAGTAGGAAACACATGATGAACATCAACAATAAACTTTCTTCTAAGAAAACCTTCAACTCTTTATGGCATGGGAGGATTTTCACCAAAGGGTAATGGGGAGAAAAACAATCACCAAATCTTAGAAGAATCATTACAAAATAAAGTTTATCAATGGTCAAACATATGATGTCTACTACAGTGAAACCAAAAAGGATGCTCAGAGAATCACCTTCATGAGCAGCAACCTCAGGCAGATAAGTGGCACTTCGCCTTGAATTGGTGTCAGGATCTGTGAATTCAATGATCATTCCATGCTTACCGACCTGCAAATGAAATTCTGATGCTTTCATATAGTAGAAACTGAAGTTATGCAGCAATCTTAACCAAAGACTGAAGCGTGAAGAGTTTAAAGCAAAACCGATTTACAGGTTCTAGAAATTAGAACTAGGATTTCAGCTCTGCAATCAACCTCATACCACTTTCTGATCGTAATTTAAATTATACCTCTGATCCAGTAACAAATAGCCAACCCCACATAGTGGGATAAAGGCTTCTTGTTGTATCTGATCCAGCAAAACAAGTTAGGATAACAGTGTGATAATTACAGAAGGCAATATGGAACCTATTAACCGAAAAGTTGGTCCAACCATCCACTCATAAAAGCAATATGTAATACCAAACTGTCGCCCAGACCGACTTATAATCCTCTGTTACATATCATGGAAAGCCTTACTTGTATAATTAGGGGAAGCCAAGCCATATAATAGTGGGACATCCAACTGATCAACTACAGATGGTCCAAATAATCTCATTTGTCGTTGGCATTAAAGATGCAAACTCCTATACATAATGTCTAGAATGGTGAAATATATTCATGGATTATCAGTAAGTTACGGTTGTTTTATAGCATAAAATAAAAACAATGCATACATGTGACTAAATTGTTTCATTGATGTAATGCCAATAACAGGTCCCTGTTGACTATCATTAATGAATTCATTACCAAACACTAAGAAGAAACATCCATTTTCCAGAGAGTCTCGTAATGGTATAACATGAGTAGTGAAAGACTGGGCACCAATATTGTTCAAATGACATAAATCATGATGATAAGTAACCTGACCTCCCAATCATCATACTGCTGAGCGGTTTCGTAGTTAGTAAGAAGAGAAACTGTACATTCCAAATGAGGCAATTCTTTAGCTTGTATTGGGGGAAAACGCCTGTCCCTGAGAGCACTACAAAAGTCACAGAAACAAAAGGTCGTATAAACCACATGATCAATACAGAAAAAGCAGATACACCAAGTTGTTAATCATGCATTTGACAAGAACATAAACTTTTCCAAGAAGAGGAAAATCAACTACAAGAACTTTTGAGAGTTTACATACACAACAGGTTAATGTTGGAAACTCCAAAGAAAACAAAATGTTGGAAACATTAGGGCACTTGGAAAAAAGGTTCCTGATGGTGCTTCATTCCCTGACATAGCCTATACTAAATGCAGCTCCATTTAGCAAAACATGAGCTATTATTGCAAATGTTACCTCGTAAGAGCATAGTCCTTGAAACCATTAATAATGGCGCGGGCTTCTAAGGTTCCAATGCAACCCCGGAGACGAGGCTCGCATCCATTCACCGTCTTCTTCCAAGTCACAAACAGTGGACTGAAGTATAACGAACAACGATGTGAGCAACTACCAAAAATCCCATGGTACACAGAAAATGAACTAAACAAGAAGCAACACTTCCCCGAATCCTAATGCATCATAATTTTATACTACTTGCTAACTTGGAAAGACTAACATTGCACAGCTAGGTCACAAGGCTCAAAGAATTAAGTGGAATTTTCGAAGTATTAATAACAATAAATAACGTTTATAAGTATCAGTTGATACTCATAAGTCAACACACAGCAAATATTGAATTATTCCAAAAAATGCGGCAACAGCGCAAGTTGAAGAGGATTATACAATTATGCAATTGGCACAATACAATCATTGAAAAGAAGTCAGGAAACTGAAATTTGATTAGCATGTGAAAAGGAGAAAGTAAAAAATCATACTGCTGAGCTTCATCAAAAGCAGGAGGCGGAGCTTGTTCGCCGTTGAAGTGAGCAACGAGCGTATCAAAGCAGTAGACGGCCATTTCTCTATTTGCGGCAACCATTTTTATCCTAGCTCAAAGTTCACCGCACAGAACAATTTCCCCCAAAAAAATAAAACCAATTGATCCGACTTCGGATCACCGCCCAAAAGAATAGATGATGAATTCTTCGTCACAAACGAATTCCCATCCAAAAATTAGGGTTTCTAATCCGATTGATGCTCTGCTCTGGGTTAGCAGAGCGGTGATATTTATAATTAGAAAAAATGAGTCGAATTTGGTATCGTCAGTCTCGAAAATAGTAACACTACGTGAGAAGAAAGCTACCGTAAAAGAAAGAACTTTTAAGAAAGCGATTGGGACGTCGCCGTTTGGCATGTTGGTCGAGAACGGTACTTTTTTGGAGAATATTGCAAACAACCCCGTAAAAGTATCTTCTTTTTTCAACATACCCCTATAGGATGAATTGTAACGAGATCTTGCCTTTAAATTTTCTTAGATGATATTATTATTCCTTTTCAAGAGAACATGGATTGAAGAAATATTTGAGATTATTATTTTCAGTTTTTTGTTTTCTTATTATTATTATTATTATTATTACCTTTGTCATATGAAATATTCAATAACTAGTACAAATTTCAAAAAATCAACATGGTTATTTTTTTTTTTTTGACAGAAACGAATATATTACGTGTTTGGTAAAGTGTTAAATTGATAATATGTCCCAAGAATTATTGAGAGTTGAGTAAGGAAGTTATACAGCCTCACCTGCTACACCACGACCCACTTCTTACTATTACTAAACAAATCTTGTAAGGGACAATTTTCTCTTCATATTAACTAAACTGCTTGTGTCAGTTGTAATTGCAATGTCACACACAAAAAAAAAAGAATTTTATAGAAAAATCAAATATAAAGATTAAACAAGTATTCGAACGGTTAGTATCATTAATTAACAATTTCATGAGATTGTAGGTTCCACTTTTGCCTCTTTCAATGAGTAGACTAATATATTTAAATTTAGCAAAGTCGGTGTTCTCAAAACAAAGAGGAAAACACCAAGTATGTTAAGTATACCAAAAAAAAAAATGCATAAAATTGTGTTATTTTTGCCATGTTTGAACTTTGGCCAATGCAGCTTTTCAATGATAAATGGGTGATTCCGGCATTTTTTGCCTTCTTAAGGGTGGAGAAGAAAATAGGAGGAGTGCCTTGTTAAAATGGAATCTAGCGGTAGACATAAAACTTTGGCACTTCGCTTTCAAAGGAAGACGTGATAGACTTCTTTTCCCCCACTTCCAGGTTCCAGTATCTCTCTAGTCTATGGCACCATCAGAATTCAGAGGACTACAAGGGCAGACACAAAAAGAAAAGTTTCATCAAAATTAAAAGGAATAAATCCCCCAGAAAATTACAAGCAAAGATACAAGAATGATACAGTAGAACTTCAGTCCAACAAAGAAAATGAGATATAAAAAGCATTTGCTACTAGTTGAATGTCGAAGCCAATAAAAAGGATACATCGACACAAACAGCAAACAGCAGCATCACGTACGGTCACTACCAAGTGCCAAACGTTACGCAAATTACAATACAACAATACTAATCTGTATGTTTTAGTCAGAATCATGTCTTCTCTTTTCCTTGTCTTTTCTGCGTGTTCTCCTGTCATCTGAATCACGAGAATGTCTTTTCTCTCGTCTGTCTTGCTTCTCACGTTTCTTTTCCTCATGCTTCCTTTTCCTCCTCTGAGTTTCATCCTCTGATTGATCCCCATCATCCTTAGCGGGTGCACTAGGCATTGGGGAGTCCACTTTCTCAGCAGATTGGCCCTCTGTACCATTTGACACAATTGGTTCTTCCCAAGCACGAGGTTCTCTGCAGTAAGATGATATACACACCTTAGTTATTATAAACATCAAAGATACTCCAAATCAACAGTAACATTCTCTATGTCTACTTCCAAGATACTTTTGCAGGTCCAGTATAGCAATTTCACAATCAACAGAAACAATAAAACTCAGAATCATTAAGGTGGTCAAGTCACAAGTAGAATCCTATAACAGTCGCATTTTGGCAATGAGAACTAGTAGCACATCCTACAAGTATAGACTATTTTCTTTATTTTGTCTCTTAAACTAAAAGAATCCTGTTTCAAATAAACTAAAAGCATCCTGTTTAGGTAGCTTTTCCGCTAAAAATAACATACCTTGAAAAGCCAAGACCATGTACCCTAGCCGCTTCTGCGTGCCCTGCTCCTAAATCTTCTGCAGTAGAGCCTCGTTTCACAAGTTCATTAAACTCATGCTTATCCAAACGATTACCTTGAGCACGTGTAGCACGCTTAGGAGCTAACCCTAAAGCCTCCCTCATGGCCTGCTCTTCTTGTTCCTTGATTCTACGGATTTCTTCTTTCATTGCTTCCGCATCAGCAGAGGCAGATTTTTTATCACGGGCATACCAGTTAAGATCTTTCCCTACAATAGGGAGTAATGTAAGGTAAGATAACGCCTCTCAACCAACGAACAAAAAATGAAGCTACTGTGGCTCAGTATCCTGTAGCCACCATATACTCATCTACATCAATTGTAGCAACAGAACATGGCATGCTGCTTAGCCATCTGGATGAGTGTTTGGATTATGATAATGGTTTCAGAAACACTCAAGTAAACCCAAGAAAAGAAAAAAGAAAAGAAATAAATAGATAGCTAAATAAAAGCAAGCATCCATCTAATGACAAGGTCAAACAACTAACTAGAAAGCGAAACAAATGCATTTTTCACCCCCACAAAAAAGTAAGGAAACAAAACAAACAAATGCATTTTTCACCCCCACAAAAAAGTAAGGAAACAAAACAACTGCATGTCTTCAACCATCAAAAAATCTCATGTCTCCTAATGAGTGTTTTGTTAGTGTTTCAACAGTGGGAGAGGAATGGTATCACAAACTGCAAGCATAAGCAACTTACGAAAATTGCCACAGTAAAATATCGGGGAAATGCTACCTTAAAATAATTGAAGAAAGAACCTTAAAAGTTTCAAGAACTTCTTGAAAAGCTACCTTACAGTCTCAATGTACATAATCAATTAACAGTACTATAGGAAGATAATCAATTCAAAACTCCAAACTAAGAGAAACTATCAGAACTCCAAACTAAATATCCACGGGTTTGATTTTAAATACCAAGAAAAATCATAGGAGTATCAATACAATAAACCTAACTGATCCCTAAAAGACATAGCTCAGAACATCAGAGAATGTAAACAGAGAATTTTAATAACAAATCAACTTCACAAGCTTTCCAAGTAGCACTTATAGGTAAGTGATCCATGGCCCAAAAATCCAAACAACATGCAGGAAAAAAATAAAATAAAAGTTCAGGTGGATAGAGGCCCTTCAGCTTGATTAAAGGAGAAAATGGTATAACAAAGAAGGAAAGAGAGGAATACCTTTCTGCCATCGTCCAACAGGTGCTTTAACACTGTGGCCAAGATAGTTTTCTCTGTGTTTGTCAACTTTCACATCTTCCCAGTTAAATTCTGCAAAAACCCAAAAAAAAAAAAAAATCCCAAATTCGATAAGTCATCGCCTAATTTCAATGGTTGTTCCGGTATTACTAACATTAACCCACAGTAAACCCCCCACTATCTTTCAATTCGTAACCCTAAAGAACTGCTCAATTGCAAAACCATACAAATAATGAACACCAATTCCCAAAAACCTTAACGAAAACATTCGAGAAAATAAAGAAATAAACAAAAAAAAAAGCCCTAGAAACAAAAACCGGATTACTTACGATCTCGGCCGCCACGAACTCCACCTCTGGACGGATGATACATATTCTCCTCCTGACTGCAATCTCTACTTCAGATTTCCCAAATGATCGGACGGACAGGAAAACAGACGGAGGAGGAAGAGGGTGGCGATATTCTAATTTTCTATATTTATAAACTAGTCCTAATATTTGCAGATAAATAACGCATCTTTCCGGAGCTTGTCCCCAAATCCTCCAATAAATAAGAAGGGTATATCTGGTAATTCATCTTGTTAAAGCGATTGATTTTGATTACGTGTAACAATACCGTGAGCGCCCCTGAACAAAAACCGCCACCGAAACGTTTAAAAAAATAGGAAAAATCGATCAATTCCTTATCCAAAAACCTAAACCCGGTCCAAACGGAATTTGACCGGGCCGTTTGTACATTACCAATTTTGCAATATATAGAAGTTTCCAGCAGGCTCATTTCCGATCGATCATCTTCCTCACTCCACTGAACAGTGTGTTGACTTTCTACTATCTGATCAGCTTTCATCGGCGATTCATTATTGTTGTTCTTATTAAGAATCTAAGGTTTTGAGAATGGCGATGCGATCTGTGGTTTCACGCGGTGGACTTGGTCGTTTGATGGAGGGAAATGGGATGCGGTCGTCGACAATCTCCGGCCTCCGCTACTTCAGCGACGATAAGGGGCGCGTTCTGAGTGAAGAAGAGCGTGCTAAGGAGAACGTTTACATCCAGGTTTGATTTCGTGATTTTTGCTATGATGTATATTTGATGAATTTCTTGTTTTTCTTTTTCTAGTTTTTTTGAATTAATGTGGTGATTGGCTGTGATTTGGTTTGAAGAAATGGGAGAGGGAGAGATTGGAGAAGCAGAAGCTTAAGGCCGAGAAGGAAAAAGCCGAACACGATAAATCTGATAAGGTTATTATTACTTCTTCAGATTTTCATTTCTGTTGAGCTAAGATGATGGTTAATTGGTTTATCATAAATTCGTCAATTCATTTCCAGTTTAAATTTTGTGATTTTGAAGGAGTGAACGAATGGTTAATAGTTTTTGGAATCTATTTTCTATTTTAGAAACCTGAAGGTTCAGCTCAGAAGAGCTGAAGAAGAAGTCTGTGGCGGTGGCGGTGGCCTTGAGGTTCCAGAGTTCGAGTACTTTCCTGTCTAAAATTGAATAAATAATGTAATCTCATGAGTGTTGAACTTGATGACTCACAGAGGAGTCCTTAATCCTTTAGGAAGGAATTGTGTTGTTTCTTACTCTTTGTTCATATTTGCAATCACATGTCTTTTTCTGTTAACCTGGTTACTGCTTATGAATATATGAACATCACTGCTTTGCCTTTCTTCCACGTTTTATGGTTTTCCGGAAGTGTAACTTTATCTTCTTTTTGGCTCTGATTTGTTTTAATTTTCGTTCCAAAAGGTAAGAAGGTTGATCTATAAGTCTCTATCAATTATAATGGTTGAGATTTCTTGTGTCCAGATTGTTTCTGTTCATGGAAAAGTTGTCTGTTCTGATAAATCCACAGTTATGAGCTTATGATTCCTGAACAATGTCTCTGAGTTTGGAGCTTGCAGTTTTATTTTCTGTAGCCATTTTCTACTGTCTGTTTCCTTCTGAGCTCCGGGGACTGATTATGATAATGATTGTCTCCCGTCTCACAATAGAAAAGGCAACCTGGTTGTGGGGTATTATTTTGAAGGGAACTGACAAATAAGCTGTTCTATTCCACGAGTAGAAGTACAGAACTTATCTCCTCCATTCTGGGGCTTACATAGTTCTTCGTTTAACCTCCATCTTTCGAATGGTGGTAGCTTTAGGTTGAGATAACCTACCGAACTTTTGAATGTCTAGCCATTAGACGGCACTATCCGCCTGACCTTCTGAAGAGACCAAGTTAGGTGCTTTTGCCTATCTAGGACCGGAATCAGGTGATTTGCTATTAGTTTCTTGTAACTGTAAAAACTGGGGAAAGATTGTCATGACTTGACGATGAAGTTGAAGATCTAAGTGCATCAAGATTTTGAGTTCTGTTAATTTATAGATAGCCAATTCTGGACCCTGATCGTTATTATCGTTAATGAACTTTGATCTAAGAATTTCTGCTGGATGGATATACCTGGCCCCAGAATTGTTATGCTCGGTACATTTCATGACTGGCCAATCCTATTCATCATTCAGCCTTTATATTAGTTTGGATTACTGATATTTATGGACAGCAAAAATCCAACTTTCTTACGTGGTTCCCTAATGGTGAAGGAGTTTACCAAGGTTCAAATACGTTTAATTTTCACGAAGCAATCTAGGTAATCTAGGCAGTCAATGAACAGGAATATGCCATTTTGGAGGATCTCTCTTGGAACTTTGAAGCCTCTTGTGAGTTCTGATATTTGTTACTCGTTTGTCAAAATTATTATCTTGTTTGTTGTATAATTTTGATGTAACAAGCGTAACAATTATTTCTGGGAAGGAAGGAGGATGGGTCTATTTACCTAAATAGACCCAAAAAAAAAACGATAGAAATTTATATTTTATTTTTTTTTTTGTGGTCATGAAAACATTTGCCGGAAAACAATTTTTCGTTTTTTCTAACTATAATTTAAAAAACAGACTTTCAATTCCCGTTTCCTTATTTTGAATTTTAAAATAATTAAAATTGAAAAACCCAATTTCGCTCGGAAAAAAAAGATAGGAAATATTAGGGGAAATTTTAAACGGAAATTGGAATTCCGTTTTTTTATCAATACAACAACGGAAGACGCACTTCTGTTTTTCATGTCTTAAAAACGGAAAACGGGATTCCGTTTTTCTGTTATCAGGTTGTCACCTGCATTATTGGTCTGACACTGATAATCTGACACTGATAATCTGTAAGAATCAGAGCTGCAGGCTTTAATCAAAAAACGGAATTCTAAAATCCATTTTTTGGTTTATATATGAAGAAGAATTGACACTGTTACCAGATCTGGAAAGTTTTGAAAGGGAAGAAAAAAATATGAAGACGTCTGCAGTTTGAACCTGTTTTTTACGCCTGAAAATTGTTATCGTCAAGGTTAGTAAAGGGTTGATGTTATTTGTTTCCTTTAATCGTATTGTATTAAATTAATTAATTATTGTTCTTATTAAATTTGAATTAGAATGTTTAGTATGAAAATATTGAATTTATTAGGAAATTCGATATGGACAGTTATATTGGGAAATTTGGACTGTTTTTTGAAACATTGGATTGTTTATGGAAATTTAAACTTTTTATTAGGAAAATATTGGATTGTTTGTTTAAATGATGGATTGCTTATGGAAATCTGGGTTTTTTTTAAATGCTGGGTTGTTTATAAAACAATGATGGACTGTTTATCCAAATACGGACTGTTTTATTTGGAAAAAATTGTACTGTTTTTTAAATGTTGGACGATTTATGGAAATTTATACGGTATTATTTGAAAATGATTGTACTGTTTATGGAAATATAGAGACTGCTTTTTTAAGAAATATTTTATTTTTGACAGAAAAATGGCATGGAATGGTCCATATTTTATTAATTTATACTGGAGAAATAAATATGTTGTGGAAGATGGCACGATCAGAACATTTGATAACAGGGCAGATGCGACATTAGTTATTGAGCGGAAGCTGTCGTATTCTGAGTTTTTGGGCAGAATTTGTGATAAAGCGGGTTGGGATAGAAATTATGTAAATTTGAGAATTAACTTGTTGTTTGAAAACAACGGTGTAAGACGAAGCGCAACAATTACGGACGACTCGTCAGTGGAAATTATTTATTATTTTTCAGGTTCATCATATTTGGAGCTATATGTTGAAAATGAAGACACGGTGCAGCCCAAAATTTGTTAGATCTGTCAGACAAAAACAGGATGTTACATTTGTGTCGCAACAGGACCAGCAATATTGGATGAATAATTCTCAACATGCGAAGCGGGGCCTAGCGGGAGCAAGGCGATGGATACGTTGCAGAGGGACATGGTGGGGTCAAAATGATGACTTTGATTCATCAGATGAGGATGATGCATCAGACGGGACTTATGTAGAAAGCGAAGAGGAAGTTGACTACCAAACTGATGTGTCTGACGAAACCGACTTAGAAGATGAAGAACAAGAAGCAGACGCAGGAGCGAAGTGTGAGTAACTTAGTTACGTCTGGTTTTGGTCAGCATGTTTATTCAGACATTGGTGATTATAAAAATAGCATACTGGATCGAGATGAATTTGAAGTTAAGATGTGGAAAGGTGATAGAGAAAACCTTGATTTGAATACCTGTTTCAACAACAGGGATGAAGTTGAGGCAGCTATCGAAGACTGGAACATATATCACAACAGGCAATTTTATGTTCTTTCTTCTGGACGTAAGTCATGGTCTGCAGAGTGTGCGACAAGAAGAATGCAAACTCCAATTGGGCAATCTACTTGTGCGTGGAGGATGCGTGCATCTTTGAGGAAGAATGGTCTGTGGCAAATTGTGTCCTGGGTTGATCGTCACAATTGCGTTGGAATAACCAGACAAAATGACCATCGCAATTTGAGGTCGAAGTTAATAGCCAGACTTATCAGGCGTAGTGTTGAAAATGATCCTGGTTTTAAGGTGAAATCAATCAGGGATGCTGTGAAGGAAGCTTATAAGGTGGATGTGAAGTACAAGAAGGCATGGCATGCAAGAAGAAAAGCTATCGAAGCGTGTTATGGTAGCTGGATCGACAATTTCACGGAGTTGCCATGGTAAAAATTTAAAACTTATTAGCTTCCAAATTGCCATGGTTTTTCAAATGCACACTGTTATAATTCACTGTTATCATTCTTGGATTATTGGACTGTTTATTGGACTCTATTGTATTTATGATAGGTATGTGGCTGCACTACAGAAATCTAATCCCAACACAGTTGTTGAGTGGAAATGGCAGTCCGGGACTGAAAATGATGAATATAGGGTCTTCAAATATGTTTTCTGGGCATTTGGTCCTTCTATTGCGACCTTTCATATGTGTCAACCTGTTGCGAGTATTGATGGCACACACCTTCGCCTTCAGTACAAGGGTAAGCTTCTTGTACCAATGGTGAAAATTGCTAACAACCATATCCTGCCCATTGCTTTTGCAATTGTAGATGAGGAGAGCGAGGAAAGCTGGTCATTTTTTCTCTGTAATTTGAGGCTTCATGTTGTACACGACCGAATCACGTGTCTTATATCAGATCGGCATAAGGGGATAATCAGTGCACTGAAGAATAATGCCGATCTGTGACTTGAACCATATTTTGGATACCACAGGTATTGTCTTCGACATGTTCGGAGTAACATGGTGGCGAAACACAAAAAACAAATAGCTCGAACAAATCTGGTGTGCTGGAAAATGGGCAAGAAGAGGCAAAATCACAAGTTTCTAAAATTTCAGCAACAACTGAGAGAGTGCAATGAAGCAGGTCTCGCTTATATGATGGCTATACCGAGGGGGAGGTGGAGTCTTGCCTACGATCAAGATTATGCACGTTGGGGCATGTTGACAACAAATATATCCGATATTACAACAATGTTCGAAGGGTGTTCGATTTTTACCAATTAGAGTGTGGTGGAATCGACTTTGGCGAAGACAATTAAGTTCTTTCGTGATCGTATGCAGATGCCTTGAAGTGCAATACTCTATCGGAGATAAATATTGGAAGAAATTCGTAAGTATAAGAATACAAGAGAACTCACAAAGTGGAGTGTATGATTTCCAAGAACAAGTGTATGGGGTCATTACAGTTGGCGTCGTATAGGGAAAGGTGGTAATGAACACAAAGTAGAATACAGGATTGGCGTTGTTCATGCAAGAAGTGGCAGACTTACAGGCTTCCTTGTTCGCACGCATTGGTCGTATGTCGGTGGATTGGTGATCACCCGAAAACATAATACATGAATATTATAAGACGAGCACATGGCGTGAGCATTTCGTCATTCTAGGTTTGTTCCCGTCCCAAGAAGAGAAGAGTGGGTGTTCTGTGGTGGAACCTTGTTCCCGATTATGTCAATTTAGTTCGTATAATGCCGTAGGCGTCAACAACAGCGGCGATTCTTGATGTCCATGGATTATACGGCGGGGGTGCACGAGAAGATGTAGGAGATGCGGTAGTCGAGATCATTTAACAAGGCATTGTCATCGTTCGCACCGCTTAGCTGATCGGACTAGATTGGAAGTCAACTTGGGCGCAAATGGTTTCGAAAATGTTGAAGAGGACTGAATCCCTCCGTTCTGTTTGTGTTTGTGTAGTAGATATTTGATTCTGTTTGTGTAAAAGACTTATTTGGATGATCAATTTGGTTTTTTATTTTGAAGAAGCATATTTTTATCTCAGTTGGATGTTTGTAATATGTGTTTCGTGTAGAATAACATGTAGAGTAATAAAACCGGAATTTGAATATCCGTTTTAAGGCAAACATAAAAAACGGAATTTAGAAATCCGCTAAATTCCGTTTTGTGTCTTATAAAATCCGTTTACAGGATTCCAGGTCATCGTCTTAAAAAACGGATTAATGAAATCCGTTGTATAGTTAAAACGGATTTATGATATCCGTTTTTTGTAAATTTACTAAAACGGATATTGGGAATCCGTTTTTATGAAAACGCAAATTTAGTCAAAACTGAATCTTTTTCCCGTTTTTTCTTGCTTCTTCCTCCCCGTTTCTTCACCGGCCGGCCACCATCTCCAGTTTAACCATATTTTTGCTGGAATTTTCCCCTAATTCTACATATTCTCTCATTTTCCCATTTTTTTCCCCTTTGTTCTTGTTTGTTCCTCCACGTTTCTGCAATTCCCCCAATTTTGCCCTAATTTTCCCGAAGTCCCAATTTTCCCCCAATTTTGCCCTAATTTTCCCCAAGTCCCAATTCGGAATCTTTTCCCGTCTTCCCGTCTTCCGTCCCGTCTTCCAAGTCCCAATTCACCATCAAAGAGCTCCTGCCCGTTTGTCCCGTCTCGGCGTGAGTGTTAAAAAGGTAAGTAGTATATCAGTAATTTTGCATATATCAGTAATTTCAATTTCTGTTTGGTTATGATTCTTTTGATTCTTCATTTGATTCGTCTTAATTTTGCATATTACTTTCTGCAGTAAGTAGTATGAGAATTTTTTGGTATTCCGTTTGACGGGGTGAGTATTTGTCCCAAATCCGTTTGGCCGTGTGTTGGGTTGGGTGTTTTCTTTGAACAAATTTGTTTGCTTCTTAACATAAATGAAGGGAACTTGATTTGAACTGATTGGAACTTGATTTGTCAACCTTTCGTTTTGGCATTGATTGGAACTTGATTTGAACTGAAAAGCTAACCAGTTCATTTGCTTGACAAGGTCGACCTTTAGCAAAGGAAATGCTGTACATTTCAGTATATGTGTTTGGACAAAAACAGAAACACATTTGAGATTTTGTGTAAAATATTTGAGATTACATAGATTTGCATAGCTGCTACTGGTCAGTGTGGCACCATTTATTCTGGAACACAGCATATGTAGTAGATTTTGTGTAAAATATTTGAAATATTTAACTAGTTTTGCCTACTATCCAAGACGGGACTTTGTTTATATATGTTTGCTGCTGCTTTTGGTTTTTTTTATATGAACTTGACATGATCATTGGTGAAGCAGTGTAGAAAACCTGCTTTTTATTTTAGTTTCTGTTAGAAAACCTGGTTTGAAATTTTCTGGTTTGATAACCTGGTTTGTTTAGTTTCTCAGTGGACCATACTAATAGCCTTTTTTGGTTTTTTCAGTAATATGGCTAGTTCTTCTTCGTCGCAAGCCCCAAAATTCACAAATAAGGGTCCGATCGACTCTACACTTCTTTATCTTCAGGGTGATCATCGATCTGATGTCGTTTGGAACAGTGAGCCAAAATTCATTTATGAACACCATAAGTGTCGACGATTTGATAATCTACTTTGGGAGCTATACGCAATGACCAATGACTGTGTTAAAGCTTACGTGGCTAAAATGGGTTTTGGATACTTCCTTGAGACGGGTCTCATTCGATTAGACAACTCCCTGGTGACAACATTGGTTGAAAGATGGCGGCCTGAAACACATACATTTCACTTCCCAATGGGGGAAGCAACAATTACACTCCAAGATGTCGAAGTTCTTTTGGGACTGAGAATTGATGGAAACCCCGAATCGCCAAGATTCGCCACCAGCTAGTTGGGTTCCAATGTGCCAGGAGCTTTTGGGATTCACGCCCAAATTGAAAAAAGGGTCCAACCAACTTATAATCACTTCGCTGGCAGATGAGTGTAAGCGAAAACTTCCATCAAATGTCTCCGATGATGCTTGCCAGAAAAGGGCTCAGGTTTTTGTTTTGTGGGCAATTGGAGGTTCACTATTTCCTGACACAACCGGAAATACTGTGCCTTTGCTTTATTTGCCCTTACTGAAGGATTTTAAGACTTGTAGAAAACTAAGTTGGGGGAATGCATGTCTTGCAGTGTTGTATAATAATCTTTGTAAAGCATCAAAAAGGATAAAATGGGATATAGGTGGATGCTTGATTCTTTTGCAGGTAGAATTTGATTTACTTTATTTTTTCCTTTTATGTATAACAATTTTTTTTATTTTAACCTAACATGTGTTCATTTACAGATTTGGGCTTATGAACGAATCCCAAGGATTCGCCCCATCAGGAAAAATCCGGAAGACGACGATCACACCTTGGCCTTGGGTTCAAGATGGAGGTGTTCATTGGATTTTTCACAGGTGGCCTCTCACTGTCTCCCAGCACAACGAGATCAACTCGCGAGCCTTAGGAAGGTTTAAGATGTAAGGGTTTCTAATTTTATATTTGATTAAATTCTTTTTGAATGAATTTGAACTTAATGAATAAATGGCTTTTGCACTATTTTTGTAGAAATGTGATTTAGTTAATATGCTACTTTACAATGTACAAAGAAAGCTGCCTCTTTTTTTTTTTTTTAACAATCTGTTATAATAAAGCAAATTAGGCCATACCTTCCTTTTTCTTTTTGTAAGCTGCCTCTTACAATTAATTAGGACATTGCTTCCTTTTTGTTCCATTCTTTATGTAATCTTAAAAAATAGAAAGAAAAAAAAGAACAATAGAAAAAAGAAAAAAAAAAAGCATTTTCTATTGTATTCTGTTTCTTTATGCAAAATGTCTACATTCCTTTTGTATTCTATTCTGACAGCCTTGATTGTATGTTCTGTTTTTTATTTCAGTTTATTTGGCAACCTTATGAAGGAGTGGAGATACCTGAAAGATGTACACGGGGTCGAGATCATTGGCAATCCAACACTTGGCTAATTTGCTGGGATGTCATTGAACCGCATCAAGTTGACCGTGTGATGCGACAATTTGGCTTCAAACAATTCATCCCACCACAACCAATGATTGTTGGTTTCCAAGAATGGGAAAAGTTGCACAAGTATGGTAGGACTGGAAGAGGTGGAAACAATTGGGAGTTACATCATCGTGAATACATCGAAAAATGGAACAACAGGGCAGACTCCATTGTGGCTGGATCTCCGAGTGCTCAATCCTCAACCGATGATGATTATCTCCCATGGTATGAAAATAATACCATCAAATTTATCAAGGATCCCAATAAGTACAATTTTCAGGAGGAAGGGTATCGTGAACATTCTGATCGTGCAAAATTCTATGTAAGTATTTTCCTTTTTATCTCTACTCTTTTTTTTTTAAGGCTGGTTTCTTTTTTTCTTGAGAATAACTGCATTAGCATCTTCATTGTGTATGATTTGTTGTTAGTGCTACATGGTGGTATATTCTGTACAAATGGTGTTATTGGTGCTTGTGGATCTTATTGTTTTCTGCTTTCAAGTTCCATTTTTAAATTTTATTTTAAATTGTAAACTTGTTTTTTTTTTTTAAATTGACAAGTCCTTTGTTTTTTTTTCCTTACAATAATTTGCATTTATTTCTCCCGTTTTTCAATCCGTCAGCAGGTTTGAATGCATCTAAAATTTGTTAAAAAAATCTTGAAATGTTTTTCCTTTGTTGGTGATTAAGTTCTGGACATTTGGGTTTCTTTTAGTTTTTATCTCTAATCTTCTCTTTTATTTTTTAAAGCTGGTTTCTTTCTTTTTTTAAAAAAGAATTTTCAGGTTTGTTATTTTTTTTAATTACATTTTTAATGGTTAAATTGATTTTAGGCTGATGCTTTGAGCGACATCTGCAAAATGGTAGAAGACTACAAGAAATCAGAAGATGTCTGCCAAAATTCAGTTTGTACGAATCTCCTTCTTGAACTCACTTCTCATTCTATAAGTGATTTATCCCTTGGAGCACATGAGATGCCAATTTTGATACCCACACAATCACTTGTTGATCTTCAACCACAACCTTCTCAACCGGTTGGCAAAGTTCGCAAACGAAACATTCCTCACCGTGGGATTGGAGGAGGAAGGCAGAAAATTGTTGAAGAAGAAGAACCAGAAATTTGATTTTGAACTCAATGCCGACTTGTTTCAAACTCCAACCCCCCATCATCAGGACGAAGCCAACCAAGAAGGTGAATCTACAAATATGGATGTGGAATCTAGTCCACCTTTGGCGTTAGCAAGGCCGCGTAGAAAACTAAAGAAAGTCAATCGCTACACGCCATCCACTGCCCAACCCGAGGAGGAATTGTAATGGCATCATTTTGTTGATAATCTACTTTTGATCAATATTTTGTGATGTAGTCTTTTATTTAAACATGTTAGAATTGAAATATTTTGTTGAATTAATGTGTGAATTCAAGGGTTATTTGATTTGAGTTGAGGTCTTGTTGGTGTTGTTTTGGTGTTGTTTGTTAACTGCTTTTTAACAGGTTTCAACAGGTTTGCAATTGCAAACCTGTTCTGTTTTTTTTCTGTTTACTGGTTTAAAAACGGATGTCGAACATCCGTTTTTCTTTGTTTACCAGTTTACAAACGGATATAGTAATTCCGTTTTTTTTTCTTTACAGGTTTAAAACGGATATAGATATTCCGTTTTCTTTCTGTTTACAGGTTTATCAACGGATATAGCAATTCCGTTTTTTATTGAAAATACAACCTTCGCACGGATTTTCGATTTCCGTTTTAGGTTTCAGAAAAAAAATTATTTTCCGTTTTTTGGTTGCTCGGGCAAATTCTATATAAATTGTTAAGTGAAAACGGAATTTGAAAATCCGTTTTTATAATCAACGTATTATAAAGTACTAATTACAACTAATTCTACAAAAACGGAATTTGAAAATCCGTTTTATTACCATTACAATGAAAAACGGAAATTAGATTTCCGGCATACATTTTTTCTGACCACTCCCTGAAACAACTATATTTCAGTCTACTACTTTTATTTGGGACATATTTTGGGGTTTGACACAAGGAGGATGTCTTTGTTGTTTGTTCTATTCACTCTTAGTTGTGTAGATTTTGTCACAATAGTATTTCTAGCATTTTCTGAGGCTCTCAAGATATTTATCGGAATCATTTTTCCCCATGGATGAAAGCAATGTGGCAATGATTGCTTCCCCTTCCTCTTGAGTGTCTATCTGTCAAGGTATCCTCACTCCTCAGTAGTATTCGGCCGCCTTCTTGGGTAACTTCACCAAAATGGAATAAAAAAGGCAAAAACTATGAATAATTACAATCTGATCTGTATGTGTTAAAGTAAACAAGATTAAAATATCAACTCAATATGCACAATGAATCACGTTTTCTTCAATGTTCATGGATACTTCATTCTCATTGGCCAGCATCCTAGCCCTTTTCGAGTACCAAGTTCATCCACTTTTCCCTGAATTTCATGCATTTTGAAATCAAGAAAAGACGAGTCAGATGACAGTTAAGTGGACCCTTCTCCGTTTACTATCCAAAACAAGGGCATCGAAGTTTCAGATCAAGAGGAATCCCAGCATAATTCCTTCCACCTGAGTCGTGATCGATGTAGCTGTATAAATACAGATCAAATTAGTTTAACAGACACCGCAGTCTGCTACAATCAAGTTTACTCAAGTTTGCATCAGTTTTTCAACTTAATCTGGCCTATTCCAGCAAATGGCATTCAAACTTGAGTTATTCCTCTTGCTATCAACATTAGCGTTCGCATCCCTTCTTGACAGGGTCAGGGCAGGAGATCCGGACATTACCTCAGATTTCTTAGTCCCACCAAATGTTACTTCTGTGAACGGAACTTTTTTCACCTTTATCGGCCTGCGTGACATTTTCCTGTCAGCGCCGCCGCCTGCTTTTAAGGCTACAAAAGCAAGCCTGGCCGAGTTCCCGGCTCTCGATGGACAGAGTGTTTCATTAGCAATCTTGCAATACCCTGTTGGCTCTGTCAATCCTCCACATACTCATCCTCGCTCAGCCGAGCTGTTGTACGTTCTAATGGGTACTTTAGGAGTCGGATTTGTGGACACCAAGAACAATCTTTTTACTCAAACACTTCAAACCGGGGACTTGTTTGTGTTTCCTAAGGGACTTGTTCATTTCCAGTACAATTGTGACCCTGACAAATCCGCCACCGCGATTTCTGCGTTCGGAAGTGCTAATGCTGGCACAGTTTCAATCCCTGGAACTGTCTTCAACACCAGCATCAGCGATGATGTTTTGGCTAAGTCTTTCAAGACAGACATCGCCACCATTCAGAAGATCAAGAGTGGGTTTGCACCACAACCCTGATTGGCAAATGGAATTGCAAGATTAATTATGATGGCACCGGCGCTTACCCTCTTTTATTCTTGTTCAGGATGTTGTATGTCTCGTCCGAATAAAACCGATGTCAGTCATATTGGTCATCTTTACCTGAACTGACTGGTCATTTAATTTTTTGTATCTGTAATCTTTTTGGTGCCATCATGATTGTTACAAAGGTGAAAAGCTTGCAAATGGAACTTAAAATTGTTTTCTCACACAATCTTAAATACACAATCAAAAAAGGTAAATAAAATAAAATTGTATATATCACACGTCAACTTTGTTGTCAAGTACAATAAGCCAACGAAAATTTCGATGCAAGAAATTTGTTAAAAGTTTGCATTAGAAAAACTTGAGTTCTGTACAATTTGCAAAAAAATTTCTTTTTCAACTTTTTTTAGGATGTTTACAAAACTAATGAATAAAGTCAACACAATAAGTTTTCTTTTCTTAATTATTACTTTTGTTCTATATTATTCGGACTATAAATATGTACTAATACAAATCTTGATCAATATTTTTCAAAAGTCGCGTTAAATATGCAGATCGGATGATGATAAGTTTATAATAACAGTTACCACTTCCATCAAATTGGAGAATTCAAAACTCCAAGCTTAACATAGACAATTGATCCATTGAAGGGGTTCCTTCACTCAAAACGTGGAGAATCTTCAAAATTTGGGATTCTCCACGATAAAGATGGACATTTGGGATGCAGACAGAGGTAGGATCTTTGAATACAGATTTAACAAAAGTTAATTTGTAGTGATTCTCCACGGTAAAGATGGACATTCCAAATGCAGACAGAGGTAGGATCTTTGAATACAGATTTAACAAAAGTTAATTTGTAGTGAAACTCAAGAGAGTTAAGGCTACCGCAACTTGTAACTTTGATGGATTTTTCACTCTTTCCTTTTAAAGAAAAACAGGGAAATGCGGCCATAATACTGATACGGAATAGCAATCTAATGGCGCCATGGAGTTCGTTCTTGGAAAGTCAGTCTTTCTCAAAAGACAGGGAAATGCAGTCTTAAAGACCAATAACCCGGATTGACCGTACTGAATGTAATACTATCTTGGAGCAGTAAACTGAGTTGAAATTTTAGCTGAACACAAGAACAAGGACCAATGCTACTAAGAAGAAACTTTATTGTAATAAATAAATGATTAAATTCAGAGGCAGCAAACAGTAGACCATCAAGTCGAGTGCATCTTTTGCCATATGAACTCAAATAACACTCCAGTTCTAGGAACAAAAAACACCTCTTCATTCTGACCTTCCCGGCTAGTCTGTTTATGCCAAAGTCTCCATATCTAAACCAAACTAACATAATCCCCATATACAACCATTCTACTTATACTGAAACCAACGACGAAAACCTATATAGTCACAACTCAGACCTTCCCTAACTAATGCGCTAGCTACCCTGAATCTCAAAGAATATGACTTTACAGGCTGGGACTGTCCAAAAATCTACCACTTTGTACACAGAATGATCATATATGGAGTTTCCCACTTCTTCAGCATCTCTTAAGAAAGTTGAGACTGGTACCCCCCCTGATTTGTAAAATTGTTGGGAGGGGGCACTGTTTCGGTGTCCAATGGAGTTGTTATATCATGGATGCTAGATCTCTTCCTTTCTTTCTTTACAGCAGTCTGGCGAAGGTAGTATTTCTGAGCATGACTGGCCACTTGAGTAGGAGTTCTTGTTACCACCACATTTCTTGAGATGCTTCTCCAATCTCCCTTGCCGTATTTCTCCAGTCCAAGCAGAAACAACCTGTCAAAGGAGAGCATTCATGCATTCCAAGGCAATGAATATTTGGTATTCAACAGATTTAGAAATCTGAACAGCAAGCAATTCCCAAAAAGACCAGGCAACTTAGACACACAAATACGATCAAACTCCCAAAATAGGAAGCAACATACAAAAACAAATCGATAGCCATTTGATCAAGTATCAGGTGGTCATTATCATTTTGCCTATTAAGTTCAGAGATTCTCGCGTATAAGATCAGAATACTGTTTTTAAAGGCAAGTGGTGATTCAGAGTTATGCCAAAAAAACTTGGTAACCAACAAGCACCATCTGATTCCATTTCAGAGTAGTTCAAAGCAATCAGATCTTTTCAAAAATGAAGATGCACCAAAATGCAACTTTGAAAAGAAAAGCTATATAAATGAAGCTTTATACAGTAAAGAGTTACAGAACAGCCCTTAAATTTCTCTCCCAGGATTTAGGGGCCACAAATGTTTTTAAAAAAACTAAGGTTGGAGTTTTGAAAACAGTCATTATTAAACAATAAAACTTAATATAGATTTCGTTATCTAAACTCTAAAACCTCACATTCGGCCTGTTGGTTAACAGCACAATCATCCAGAAAACTTGAATTGAAAGCAAAAGCAGGGGATTCTCTCTTAAACCTCCACCCTCCCCACCATCAACTCCTGATTCTCATCATCCATCCACCGAAAAGAAAAACACCTAATTCCAAACTTCATATTTGCCCCATTCCTAACCACTCAAAACATAATAGCCCCAAATTTGAACAGCAACAATATGAATGAAAAAGCATCCAGTTGAACTGGTATAAATAATAAATAATCAAAAACATTTGGGTGAAAAGATCCATGGATGAATTATAATCGGTAACCAAATATTGATTAACTCGGTGATCAAAACTTTTAACATTTAGGGGGGAAGAGTAAAAATACCTGTGCTCCTCTTCAGTCCAAGGATTACCCTTCTTGCGCTCAGTCTCGCCGTGTTTGGTTTTCCCGGATGACCCGAAAGAGATCTGGCTGGTCCTCGACCCGGGTTGTTCCCAACCAAAGGCTTCATCAGCATAAGTCGGCAACTCAACTCGGCCCGAATCAATCTCAGAAACGTCGTGAACCAAAGCCTCGTAGTGAGCCCTGACGTCGTCGGGAGTTTTGCCGCACAGCACGGCGGCGATCTTCTGCCACCGGTCCACCTCGCCTTCCGGGAACTCAACCAGCGCCTTCTCGAACAACTTGTCCTCGTACTTGGTCCAAGAAGCGGTCGGATTGTTCCGAATCCCAAAGGGGTTCATATTATCATTGCTAATCGGATTGTAATTGTACATCATCTTCTTCTCCTCCTCCTCGAATTAATTTCTATGTAAAAAAGAAAAAAAAAAAATCCTTTTCGGCCTCTGTTGTACGGAGTATTTGGTTTTGCGGGCTTTTTTGTAATGGGTTGAGAATTTTGGTGGGAGAGATTTTGGGGGTTTTGATGCGAGACATTAAAAAAGGCGTATATATAGGAAAAAAAGAGAAAATGCCGGGGAGTGAATTTAGGGAGGAAAGAAGTTTTATTAGATTACGGATATTAATTACTTATTAGATATTCAGGTGTCCCATTTACTGCTGTTTGCATTTTGACCTTTCTTGTTTTTCTTTTTTTCTTTTTCTGGCTTCGAAATTTCTTGGACTTTCTCTAACATAATTTCTTTTCTACGGATTTTTTTCTTTTTTTTTTTTTTGCCCATTTGTTACTCCCTCTGTTTTTCTTATTTATGCCACCAACACTAGTATACATTATAGAAGACGGGAAAAATAAGGATTATAAATATACAACATTGCTCTAAATTCTTTTAACATGTTTACTCGATACTTACATGAATTATTTATGCACAATGTATTTTTTTGTTCAATCGTATTGTTTAAAATATCTAAGTAAACCATTAATTCGATAAAAAAAAAAGATTATTAATAAGACAAAAGGATTAAAAGTTTGTATATTGGTCCTTAAAATAAGGTAAAAACATCTTCGTATCTCAAAATATATAGTTCTTCTTGTCAAAAATAAAGTTCGTATCTCAATTTTCAATCGAGAGATATGATGGCTAATCTCACATTTAAAACTACGTAAGGTGCTCAAAACACTTTTCAGATCATTCTCACTGCCATCAACGTTACAATTAAAACTATTGCTGCCAATGCATTCCGTCATTGTAATTGTTTTCTTATCGCTAATGCCATCATTATTAGCTACAACAATAATTGTAATAATCGTAGTTGCTATTAGATCTACTTTTATTGCCATCACCGCTAACATTATCACAGTGATCACTCTTAGATATTACCTTATTATAATATAATATGAAAAAATCAGGATTAAAATATATTAGGTGCCGATAACAAAATGTGGCACTGAGACAAGCTACATATTAACGTAGTTGTGAAATAATCTTTTTTCGCATTTTATCAAATAAGAGTTTTTTAAAAATATATATATATATTTACTACTCGTGCATCATTCGGGCGTAACATTTAATTATGCAATATACTCATATGTCGCTCAATGTATTAATATGTTCAGTTGTTCACTCAATATTCTCTCACGATATACAGTTACATTAATGATTTCTACACGAAAATTTTGTTTAGTATCGTACTTGCTTTGTTCAAAATGTTTTGTTCATAGTAATTACTTTTTCTCATTATGTTCCTCAAATTTTACAAGAATAATAAATAATTACTTCATATATTGCCCTTAATAACATATAAAAATCTTAATACGAATATGACCATTGCTTTGAAACTAATGGAGACACAAATTCATCATTTTTCAAACAAAAAAAAAAATCTGATGAGTAGCCTCATATTAAAATTTTCTTCAAAATGCCTATCGCTGTTATTATCAGTTGTCACGGCTATTTTTATAATTATTGTTATTTCTTCATGTGTTATTGCTATTGCTAAGGCATCGCCACCACTGCAAAGATTGATTCGGCATTGATAGTGATATTGTTATCGCGAACGCATATCGCTGTCATTATTAGCTGTCACACAGTCACAACCATTTTTACAGTTATTGTTGCCCCTGTCGCCACCGACACGGTTATTGTTATTGCCAACGCATCCCCATCATTGTAGAAATTGTTTTAATAGTGACATTGTTATTGTTATCACCAACGCCTACCACTGTCATTATCAGCTATCACCATTATTTTTGCAGTTATTGTCATTGTTGTCGATACCGATATGATTATTGTTATTGTCAAAGCATTGCCATTATTGTAAAGATTATTCCGATACTAACACTATTATTGTTGTCGCTAACGCTCTGACATCATTGTAAAGATTGTTCCGATGCCGACACTATTGTATCATTACCACCGCATAGCCATCATCGTACGTAATGGTTGTTCCGACTGTCGGCCCGTCATCAGCACCGATTTATCCCTACCATCATAATCGTAATGACAATGATATTGTTACAGCTAATGTCACCATTGTTAAATTTTGCGTTATTATTGTTGTCATTATAAGGAGTTATTACTAGTATTATCATTCTCGAAGTTTCGGTTAATTAAATCTCAATAATTTTATATTCTCACCGTTCCAAAATAAGTGTCATTTTAGAGTTTGCACATAGTTTAAGAAAACATTAAATAGGGTAACTAAATTATTAAAATATCCTCAACCAACCTCATTAAAATAAATGTTCACCAATAATATTATTTTTTTGAGGGTATGTTTGGAAATTTTTGACAAAAAGTGCATTGGAATCCGAAAACGACACTTATTTTGGAATTTTTCTATTTTCCCAAAACGATACTTATTTTGGAATGGAGAGTATTCCATAATAATTTTGAATCAAAACAACTCGCGGGATATAAAATGTCACGGCCAAAAGTTTCCATACATTAAGGAAATCGACTTTGAGCAACGAGATCAACTATACTCCCTCCATTTCAAAATGTAAGTCATTTTAGATATTGCACGTAAACTAAATTTTAAAATGTAAGTCATTTTAGATATTGCACGTAAACTAAAGAGACAATTATCTAACAATTAATTCATAGGTTAAATATCTATTTTACTCCTTGTTAATTACATTGAGACTATAAACAAGACTAAATGAAAATATATTGACATCATTTATTGAGGGTAAAATTAGAAAAGTAGTCATTAATTTGCCTAAAAGTTGAAAAAGAACCTACATTTTGAAAAATCTCTCCAAACATAAAACGACCTACAAATTGAAATGGAGGGGGTATGAGTTAAAATCAATAACAGTCAACACATTGCCGGTGAACACTATGTAATATGCAAAAACTTAATAATGTTATTTTTAATTAACCTTGACATTATATACAGCGTATTATTATTGCTTTATATAGGTATAACGAATATAAGATTCAACATCTATTCACGAAGAAAAGGTAAGTCGGAAGTATGCTCCATTAAACTCAGATTCGCGCGTATGATTCAAGTTGAAGTTCCGAACATCTACTATTTGATGTGAAGTCGGTAATCCATTGACTTAATCAGCTTAAATTAATTACTCAAAATAATTAATTGTCCCACCAAATTAATAAACCCGTACTTTGGATTTTGGAAGACTAAACTACAAACCACACATGATGCAATGCATTTGCTTTCCTAACAATAAAACATTAAATTAATGAAAGCAAAGGCAAAACTCAATTTCGCCACCATCTGGTGTTATTTTATATGGGAATTATAATTTTGTCCACAAGTCTTGTTGTGGTATGATCCCCGAAAGAAACAAAATAAATAATGATTAAATATTGAGAAAAAGAGATTTCACATGACGACACACTCCAACACACAGTTTGTCACACGAAGAAATATGGCGTTTGCATGCTTAATTGGTTATTCTAAAATTTCTAATGCTTTCTTGCCAATATGTTACACGTGTGTCAACTTTACTCTAGGTGTATATATTTTATGTTTTAAATTTTTAAAAATAGAAATCAACGACATCATTATTTGAGTTAAATGTACAAGAGCCCCTCAGGTTTTAGTATTTTGTAAACTAATCTTTGAAGTTACACTCTATGAGCACTATATTTCTAAGGAAATTTTCCTCATATCCAATGATGTGAATAAATTGAGGTCCAAAAGTTTTGTTCTCAACATTTCGTTATTGGAACACTTGGTATTTCTAAAGTAATTGGAATGGTGAAAATGGTGAAAGAAAGTAATTGAAATAATGTGATTTAAAACTATATGTACTTTTACCGCCAAAAAAAAAATTATATATATATATGTACTTTTAAGTTGATAGCATAAGATCCGGTATTTTCCAAACACACAAAAAGGAAAAATATTCATATCACCAATTTCGGTTCACCCTTGCATGTCACCTTACATGTCTTTCATTTATTGGATAATAATTTTCTACACTTGTGCACCACTTCCTACACCACATTTAAATAAGTCAATTTAAATATTATATTTTTTTTTATCGATATTGGCTCAATTGATAATTATTTGTATTATTATAATTTTCTCCTTAAGGGTTTATATTTTTCGAGATTAGGATCTATTTATTTTAAAATTTTAGATATAAAAAATCAAAAAAGTATATATATTTAATAAAAAATAATTAAATTCACTTATTAAATTTCAGTCAATAATTAAATGCTGTGTAAGATGAGATACAATAGTGAGATGAATTAAGTGAATTATGTATATAATATTTCTAATTATTTAACTTTCAAGTTTAGGTAAGTTCCTAATGGAAAATTAATGATCTTGCTCAAGCGATAAAACCACAGGATTACTCTGGTGTTGTCAAAGAAGTATTCTCAGCAATAGCGTTTTAATCGTCCTTTGTTGTTAGAAGGTCTTTCAAGCATCTAATCGACTAACAGAAAGAAGTGTGTATAAAGTCTCCACTTATTATCGTAGTATTCTTATTTTCAATGTATTTCACTCATGTAATATTGTAAGTACGTATGACATGTATTAAAAAAAAAAAAAGCAAGTTTACAATTCATTGATTTTGGATACAAATAGTTAATACATAAACTGATTATGTTCAAATAACCAAATTAGTTTATTCCAAAAAAAAGTTTGTTTTTTTTTTCTAAGTTGGTTATGTGGTGATTGATTGTGGGTTGTGTGGTGATTGATTGTCAAAGACAAAAAAAAGTGATTGGGCGCTATGATCTTCTCACGGGGGTATTTTACAAATTGAAGAACTCGAAGGGGTAAATCGCAATTAGAGAAATTATAAAGACTGGACTCTGGAGTTTAGGTGTGAAAATAGCAGAAAATGACAGGGATGCAACGAATCGTGCGGTGGTCGGCAACAGCCCGAGAGAGGTGGCGCTTTGTCGTTTTGTACAGTTTTAAGGATACTACTCCGATTTGGCTTCGCCTGAGCTGTCGTTGGAAGTACTTTAGCTCGAAAGCGTGGTTTCGACCAATCCGCTTTCTCCGTGCAGATGGAAAGCGTCCAATGATGACGTCAAAACGCGGAGGAGGTTTCCTCAAAATTGTTCTTTCTCTCTCTCCCCCTTTACGATTTGGAGGGTGAGGTGGCATCGGGCTTGTTTGCCACGTAGTATCCGAATATGCCAGGTTGCTGCCGCCCATCTTAGCCGTCACAAACTACACTACTAAGTTTTGGATAAGATCGAGTCAGTCCACGTCACTTTTATTTTGTTACTAGTACTTTTTTTTATTTGTTTCCATCTCTCTTCCTAAGCCATGTAAAGTGTTTCTTTCCACCTTTGGAGTTTGGACTTGCTTTGGTGAGAATAATAAAATATTTTAGAGTAACAAGTTTTTGATCTTTTCAACTTGGATTATTATATGGAAAGGAAACACTAAAATCTCCATCTTGAACTCTATGGTTCAGTTTGGATTTTCCTTCACAATCATTAGAAGCACAAAAATTATAAGATATATATATATATATATCTCTTGTTTATCCATTAAAGAAATAATATTGTCAATTATAACGAATAGTCGAATGCTAAAAACTGCAATTAATCATTCCATTATTATATCATTAAAAAAAGGGGGTTAGAAGATGGACTCTTCTTGTAGTTTCTAATAAATATTCATTTTATCTTTAGTTGCAAAATATTATTTTTTTAATATAAAATAATCATTAATGGAAATAACTCCTCCTAGTCTAACTTTATTTTTCTGGGGAGTAAAAAATGATTTATGGGTCAATCTAATGTGTAGGATATAATACGCGCAGCTACTAATGATTGCATCTTGAATTCTTTTCAATTTTCATTGCTGGTATGCTTGATCATCTAGATTCTAGATGAGTCAACACTATTAAATTTACTGTTAAGCAATCATCCTTCACAAAATATTTACAAGATTATTATGTACTTGCTTCAAAACGAATTTACCATGTTGGTTAATTGACCTAAAAACGACTTTACCTTTTGGTTTTTATGAAAATTTGTAATTCAAACGTAGAACTCTTGACTGAAATGGTAGCTGAGTAAATTATGGTTTGTAAAATTTAATATGACAAAAGCTATTTAACCTTCCCAAAATATGAATATTATTTGCACTCCACCCTGAGCAAAATATTTTCTCTTTCTTTTCTGTTTGTTTAATTTAAAATCCAGATTTGCCAACCGCATGGACACCAAAGACCCCTAATAATTTTATAAACTATGACCCATTGATATTTCGATCCCATCAATCATTTTGCTTGAGCTGAAATATTCCAAATGGACACCTAACGGATGAAAATTGGGCTTTCTTTAATGAGGTCCACATTATGGACTTTTAAGATAAGTTTATGTGCTCACTGGATCCTGAGAAGTTGAATGCAATGGGAGTCTACATATTTTTTCACAAAAAATCAACTGTTACCTTCCTGAGAAAATTTTACAGAGAAAAGATGATGAGGAAGAAAAATTAAAGATGAACAACAAAAAACCAAAAAAGAATGCTAACACAAAGATGATACGGGGTTAAAAATGAAACATATTAATATTTATTTTGTATCCAGTACAAATGATAAATAGAAAAAGTAATTTTTAAAAATAATGTAAATTTTAAATTTTATAATAATACTTAAATTAATAAAATAATATTTTAAAAATTAAATAATTAAATGTGAATTTTATAATATTTTTAATGATTTAAATTTCAATAAAAGTTTAAATTATATGAAAAGACGAAAATACCCCTGATTCCGGCATGTTAACTACTCCCTCCATTCACAAATAGATGTCGCTGGAGAGATTTCACAAAATTTAAGGAGACAATAATTATCTTGTTAAAATACTATAATACTCTCATTTATTCTTAATTCAATTGTAGTCCCAATAAAATTCACTTCTAATACAATTTTACATTAAATATCACAACAATTTCCAATGTAAGGGTGATATTGGAAAAAATTGACAAAATATGCCTCGATTTGTGAGAACGACATCTATTTTGGAATATTTGGGTTTTCCTCCAACGACATCTATTTGTGAATGGAGGGAGTACCGATCAACTTCGAACTGGACAGAAAAGTGGCATAAACAGTGAAATTGGACCAAAAAAATGTGAAAACATAACGTTTGGTATTACGATATTGAAATGTTAATGTTAGGGACGTAAATTCAAGTAAGTCCAAATATAAGGGACCATTTGGACATTTTAGTCTTTAAACTAAAAATAAAAGCTCAAATTAGACAATAATTATAGAATGGAGGGAGTACATATTCTGGTTCATTTTTAGGATCAATAAGGCAAAATTATCAATTTACATTCTCTTTTAACAATCAATCTAGCGTGAAGAACTAAAACTAAAACTACTTCTCACATCAATAAATAATACGCACACAAAAAAAACATAAGGGAGAAAGAGTCCAGTAAATTAATTACCCAAACACAATTATCGGTCAAGTGAACGGAGACGTCTCAGGTGAAGCTGTAGTTGAGCTCAGCCGCCGGCGTCGTCTCCGCAAGGTTAAAGAGAACAACCTAATCGACGAATCATCATCGGACTTGACCTCCAAATTCTTGTTAATAACAGTATTACTATAATACGCGCATCATTCATCATTGCATGAAATTTTAGAGGAGAAAACGTAAATATGAAAATGGATCTCACCATTCACGTTTGGGCCGCTGCCTTGAGGTCCAAAGTTCCACCAACTGGCCCATTCCCACCCCCGGCAAATGCTATCTTGTTGTATAATATTTTCTCCGTCTTATAATTATTGTCTTGGATTTTCAGTTTTAGTACAAATTAAACTAAAATTAAAAATCTAAATGGACAATAATTTTGGGACGGAAGGAGTACATTATTTTGCATTTTGTTTGCTTGCTCTGCGTCTTTACAAGATTTAAACTTTCGATCTCGTCACCTTTATGGTTACATGCGAGCTTCCCACTCGGACATCCAGAAAACTCCAGTTTTCATATTCAAAAAAGGAATTACTCTCTTACATTTTTAATTGTTTCATTTTATTTTTGTAAATAAACATTAAAAATTCGGATGTATAAGAATTAAAATAGTTGTTAGAAGCAAAACATTGCTATGGAATGAAGAGAGGATGTATAAGAATTAAAATAAACACAACAAATTCATATCAGTCATATGTTCCCCCAATTGTCTTAATCACTCTAAACTACAAAGTGCATGCCTACTGACTCTCAAAATACTTTTTTTGGGGATCATTAATTTCGTGTTCAGTTGGTTTCGGCAAAAGTAGCTTTATATGATCAACATTCAACAATAACAGAAAAGGCAATGTACTTTTTTCGTTAGGAAAATAAATACAAAGATTAACAAATGAAAACAGACAAATGAAAACATTAGGCAAATTATGTACCTGTGTTTAATCAATTAAGCACTTATAAACCGTGAATTCAGACCATGCCAAACTTTTTGGGTCAAGAAAGTACTTAACTAGTGATCCCTTTAAGCATGATTTGTTTGTTAATTTTAGTCACAAATCAGTGAAATCACATTACCCCCGCATATCTCTTTGTAGTTTGACTGGCCGACATACGGCTGCTTCTCAACTTAATTAACAAGTGGTCCTCACACTTAAGACCTTAGTTAACAAGCACTAAATCTGTGTACTTAGGGCACGATGATCTAAAATTAGGATTATCGTGTAAACATGAAAATGCGCGATTAATTTAGTTGCTTGCCCGATTCTAGCCTAAGGTTCGTACGGGAACCTACGATTAAAGAATTTTTTTGGTATTGTGGTTAGTTATTATTCTTGAATGTCGTTAAAAAACAATTGGTACATTTAGACCGAGTCCCGAAAAAATTAATAAGAAAAAGTTAAAATAAATATCGGATGTACGTGAATGAATGAAGTAGGTTTTACGAACTAGATTCAAGAAATAGGAATCTAATTGGTGGTATGCATGCATGGAGCGAATCTAAGAAACAAGTCAACTGAGAGTAAGGAATCTTTTCTGGGGGCATCAACCCGTAATTTATGCGGAATAGTACTATTCGAATCCACCTTTGGGCAGCAAAAAGTTCTTGAGATTTGGTGTTGTCCTTGTAGTAGTAGTAGTAGTCTTTGTTCTTACAGTGCGACTCTTGTCAAACCCGAATCGGGAATCTTTGTTGTCTAAGAATCAATTAAATTGAAGTCTTAATTTACTTATTGTGACTTTGACAATAATGCTTTTCCTTATAATGTTATACTTGAAAAAGAGTAGATTATTAAAATGCATCATAGAGTAGAGACAAAGAGACAACAACTCTGAGGTGAATATATAACTCAAGCAGGGTAAAAACGCATGGTTGAAAGATTATCCTACTGATATTTGGAAAACCTAATCTGTTCGTTTGATTTTTTGGATGTTTTTTTTTCAGATTATTTTAATACTAATTGTCCTCATACTTTTTTACAATTTTAATACAAAAAATACATAAAAATACACGCACTAAAAAAACGAAACAAAGATAGGATTTTCTGATGTAACATTTTTGTGTTCAATGGAGTCCAAAGGATGGGAGGATGTGATGGGAGCTCAAGCCTTGTTCGTGCTAAAATGTGAAGCATAATTTGTACAAGTCAAATTTTGCAACAAATTATTGAACATTGTTAGTGGTTAGACTAGTACTAGCTAGTCTTACTAGTCTTATGAACTTAACAAATTCACTATCAGAAATTCAATCGTAATTGTATGTGACACGATATTATTTGCACATCTAACTCGTTGTCTCCCTTCTATTGGAGAAAGAAAAAGAAAAGAAAAGAAATGTTAGCACAAATGTGATTATGAGAAAGAATTATGTGGAAACTGAAAGAAAAAAAAAAAATGCAGCTGGAGTTGCTGATTCGTAAAGTTGAAAATTGAAATATAACGAGGAAAGCAACTAATAATAAAGGAGTTCGTATGATGGTTTACAGCGTTTGGTTTGTATAGGATAATGTCCTGAGGGGAGCAATATAAACTGCAGGGCAGCATGGGAAGACTGTCACGCTGACTTGTTGTGTTTTTTGGTATCAAAACAAAATGGGTAAATAAAAAAGTGACGTCGTCCAGCAAAAGAGGAAGGGAAATAAATAAGGATAAGGCAAGATGAGATCTGGGCAATGGGCATCAGTGAATCTCTGATCATCATCATCATTCATCAGCCTAAGCCACACCACAACTAATTTATATAACGAAAAACGAAAAAAAATGAAGGAGAAGCCAGTCAGGCAAACCAGCCGGCATCGGAAATCTAAAACACGGGGACCCATAATTCTCAGATTGAGGCGGGGCCACAAAATGGGAATTGGAATTTGATTGGTTTTAATTTTGGAACAATGGCGGGGTGGGAGTGAAGG